AGCCGACTCGGGCCGGGAGCGGAGCTTAGTCTCAATATATAGTCCGACCAGCCCCCCCCCCCCACCCCCCCACCCCTGCTGGAGGCGGCGGGGGATGGCGGAGAGAGGCACCCCGCCACTCCGCCGCACAGGCATGCTCCTGCACAGTTAAGGTTGCCGACTGTACATGCTAGGCATGTTCCTGTACCTGCTCTGGCGGTGCATCGCTGCTGGCTACAAGGACAGCCGTGGCTTCTCTGCCTTTCGAGACGATCCGCCCGGGGGCGGCCCATCGCAGGCTGGCGGCAATGCCTTCCAGGTGATGGCTCTCCTCGCGGAGAGCTGCAGAGACGACGACAGACCGGCGGTGCGCGATCCTGCAATCGTAGATGCAAGGTAGGTAGAGCACAGCTAGCTCTGAGTCGGGCACTCGCTGAGAGACTGCCCGCCCCTCACGTCTCCACACACGACAGGTGACGGCGGAGGAGGCGATTCGCACCTCGGCGCGCTGCCGGCCGCCCAGCCGCGGGGGCCGTGGGGCACGCCGTTCACTCTGCGGCACTGGCTGGCATAGGTGAGCGCAATCGTGGGTGCCTACGGACTCTCGAAGCTCAATCAGTCGATGCGCCCTCTGGAGTCTCTCCCTGCCCCCTCCCTTCGCGACGCGAGTGACGCCAACCAGCCCACGCAGCCTCAGCCTGACCGCGACGTGGGATCCGGCGAGAGCGATGACCAGCCTACAGCCCTCGATGTGGAAGACCAGCCTGCAGCCCTCGGTGTGGAAGACGCCGCCGTTGCAGATGTAAAAGCCGCCTCAGATGAGCTCACGGCGCTGTGAGCGCAGGACAGTCACAAACAGCCTTGTGTGTGAGTGCACAATATTTTGACCTTCATGCATGCCTGCTTAGTTCAGCTTACTTTAATTATTTTTGTGCGACACAATGTCCGAGATGCGCGCGAAAAAATGTGCTATATGTGCACCGCACAGGTGACAGGATGTGTGACCGCGGCCCGACCCCGCGTCCCCGCGTCCGAGCCGCGTGCTGGCTGCCGCGCGACCGCGACCGCGAGCCGCGACCAGCGACCTCCGGTGCCGCCTCGCGCCTGGGCGCGCCTGCCTGCCGGCGGTGCCGGAAAGTGCCAAGTCGCAAGTGGGGAAGCCGGACATGGCACATGGTCCCGCCCCCGCGCCCGAGCCCGCGACACGCCGCGTGTGTCGACAAGACGAGATACATGAAAACAGTTTACGCAGTCGCCGTCACCGCCACCGCACTCACACGATGCTCTGAGAGAGTCCACCTCTCAACTCTCACTCACTCACTGCACGACTCAGAGTCAGTCTCTCTCGCCAAACTCACCTCTGAGCTCTGTCCTCTCAATCGCTAAAACCGCTAGTCCGCCACAGCACCAACCATCATGGACCATGACAGCACGAGACACACATCTGGGGCGCTCGTCGCCTCTCCCGTATGCCGCCATCCTATGCACGCGTATCCACCTCGCTCGACTATGCTGAAGATTGTCGTCACACCCACGCCCCAGAGCGCACAATATCTGATCGTTCCGGCATCAGCCCGATGTAGCGAAGGACATGCCGAAGATCAGGTGGTACGCCTCACGGTTCCTGTATCGCTTTGCCTGCTCACAGTAAAAGCCCTCCGCTGTGCACCACTGCGGCCTCACGAAAGGCTTGAGCGTGCGCGCCAGCCCGCAGCACTGGTCCATCTGTGCTCCTCGCTTCAGCCGCTCCCATTGCTCCTTGACTGCCAGATTGTACTGCTCCGCCCTCTGAGCCAGTGCGTATCCGCTCACTCCTGCCCAGCCCGGGTAGGCGAGCCACACAAACACAAACTTGGCGAGCATGTGCTGCAGGAGAAGCTCGTAGCGGCATTGTGCGGTTTCGGGGCAGCGGAAATAGCAGTAGGTTGTGAAGGCCTTCACCAGCGCCACGCTCGGGCCACGGCGCGCCACCAGATCGGGAGGTTCGCCGTGCTCCTCGCCGTGCAGCAACAGGAAGCGCGACCACTTCTCGAGAAGGACCTTTGTGTAAGCCGCCTGCTTCTGCGCGCCACCAAAGAGACGCGTCCGCTCATGCATCTCGGCGATGCGCTGACGTTTGCTGGTTGCCGGCTCGTCGTCCAGTGAGGACCGCCGCTCGTCAATCGGGTGGTGGCAGCGGCACATATCTCTGCAACAACGACCGGGACGACAGGTGAGGCGCTGCAAGGGGTCGCTCGGCCGAGCGGTGTTCCTTGGGATGACTTCTCGGCGTGTCTTCGGCGTTTTTCTCTTTTTGTTATTCATTGTTGGTCGGACTGTGTTTCGCCTTCCCATCAATCAATCAATCAATCATTGTTCGAATCAACCCCCCGGAGTCGCTCCTCGCTCATCGCATAACAAACACCGTCAGCAGTCCTCCTCCGGGAATTGTTTGTTTGGAAGGTTCGTACGATCTACATACACTGAAAAGGGGGTTCAAAGGGGGAGGGGCTGACGGCTGACTCTAGCTAGAGTCGCGCGTCGGAGAGATGGAAGAGTAAAAGTTTGACCAAAAGGGTCCACATGGCTGCCCCTTTGGGCATGGCCTCTCCGGGGGTGAGCTGGGTCTGCCTCCTCCGGGCCTGCAACTCGCACGGCGGGACCGCGTCCGAGCAAGCATCCGCGGCCCGTGGTTGTCCTCTCGCAGGGCGCGACCAACATGATATCCGCTGCGCACATGCACATGCACATGCACATGTCAGTGCTTCTGTCGACTATTGCTCGCTCTCTGTGCAGCTGCAACGCCAGAGACCGTGCTTGGAGAATGCCTCGCAGTGCTACCGCCACAGCCGCTCTGCCTGCTGACCTCGCTCCCGCCGCCGCCGCCTGCATCGGCGCCTGCGCGGCTCCGAGAGGACCCGGCCCGCGGCCGCGCCTCGCTGAGCGCCCTCGGGCCCACGCCCTCGGCGACGCCTCCTCGCGTCGCGTGCCCGTGAGCGGCGACCGCACCGCCTGCAGAGCTCGAGTGGCCCTCCACGCCACCCCGAGACTGCCCGGCGATGGTGCCTCCGCCGCCGCGCCTTGCCGCCGCTGCCTCGCAGCGGCTGTGTTCCTCGGCGCCGCGCCCTGATATGCCAGGCGGCGTGATGCCGCCCGAGCAAATCCTGTCGTCCGCAGCGTCAAAACTAACTTGAGCATGCATTGGCTCTGCCTCCACATCGCAGTCGCTCCAACCATTGCCAGCTCCCTTGACGCTGCTCCGTGCTGTAGCGATCTCCTTGAGAGATCCGCTAAGGCCATGCGTTGCGGCCTCTTTACCGTCAGCGTGTTCCGGCCTACCAGAATCACGTATCGGAACCACTTCCCGACGACGAATATGGTTGACACTCGAACACGTTGCTGTTGCTTCTGGAGGTGACCTTCCACCCCCGCGCCAACCCCTTCCAACCCCAACAAAACACCGACAGACGAGAGAAGAGGCCACAAAACAGACAAGCAGAATGGCAGGAGTCGAGAGAGACGCTCTGCAGGCGAGCCGCCCTTGAGCTCTCGCGTCTCACTCTCTCGAATCGACTTGCTTCGAGTGCCAGTGCGCCGCGAGAAAAAAATCCCCCTTTGTTGGCAGCGTGCCGTTCTCCACCCCTCCTGCTTGAGGTTGGCGGCTCTAGCCTCTATCTACCTAGACCTGCCGTACCGTGCGCAAGGCGCATGCGCGTATGGACTATCGTGTACTCCAGAACTGCATGCAGCAACCCATGCACCACCCTTCACGGATGAGAGGCAGAGCTTAGTCGAATACACTGAACATGATGTGCATCTAATTGAACAGACCGGTCCGTGAGCAGGCTTCGCCGTCAGGCGCCGTCCTCTTCACACCTAGTCGCGGCGAACCGACTACTCGCGGTCGAGGTCGAGGTCGTCGAGGCCGAGGTCGTCGAGGTCGCTCGCGCCCTCCTCGGCGTCGGGGATACTGCTCGCGTCCGAGGCCCTCGACGCGTCGAGGTCGTCGAGGTCGAGGTTGAGGTCGTCGAGGTCGAGGTCGCGCCCGGTAAACTTGTGCGTCTGGTCGACCTGAATAGTCCACGTCTTCTTCCCCTTCTCGCCACGCTCGTCCAGCTCTTTGCGCAGCCGCTCCGCGCGGCGGCGAAAGGCATCCCTCAGCAAGGCGGCCTCAACCTTCATGATCCCATTGTCGTTGAGCTGTAGCGACGTGAGCGTCGAGTTCGACTTGAGCGCGTCGCCCAGCGCGGCGCAGCCGGCGCCGAGCGCGCAGTAGTTCAGCTCGAGCTCTCGCAGCGACGCATTTTTCGCGATACCGGCGGCGAGGTCAGCGCACGCGTCGGGGCCCAGCTTGTTCTCCGACAGGTCGAGCTGCGTCAGCGAGGTGCTCTCGCCGATGGCGCGCAGCGCGGGAGCCACGCCCGCGCTCAACTTGTTGTCGCTCATCTTGAGGACCTGGAGCGTGGTGTTGCCCCTGAGCGCTTCGAGGACGGCCGCGCCGCCCTCGTCGCCCAGCGCGCAGTCGCTGAGCTCAAGCTCCGTCAGCGACGTGCTGGCGGCGAGGCCCTTGCCCAGCGCCACGCCGCCCTCCTTGATCAGGTTAGACTGGATGTCAATCCTCTTGAGCGTCACACTGCTGGCCAGCGCCTCGCCGAGCGCGTTGGCAGCAGCCGCGTCCATCTCGTTGCTGGAGAGGTTGAGCTCAGTGAGGCCGCAGTCGCCGACGGCGGCGCAGATGGGCAGCGCGCCCGACCCCAGCTCGCAGGAGTCGAGCTGCAAGCTGGTGAGCGCCGGGTGGCCTTTCAGGCGCTGCGCCAGGCCCGCGCCAATGTGGGGCCCGCACTCGGCGCAGGAGAGGTTGAGCGTGGCCAGCGACTTGCAGTCCAGCAGCTGCGGAAGGAGGCCGCTGGCCTCGCCATTCTTCCACTCCTGCGAGGAGAGGTCGACGCTAGTGAGGCTCTTGCTGCGCCCCACTGCCGAGGCGATGGCCTTGGCGACGGCTGGGATCTCGGCAGGGCGCATCAACTCGAGGTTGCAGTTGGCCTCGAGCACCACGAGCGAGGGCGCGTCCTCGACCATCCTCGCGAGGGCGATCCAGCCCGCCTCTTGCATCGCCGAGTCGTTGAGCTTGAGCGTCTTGAGCTGCTTGTTCCCGGCGAGCGCGGCGCACAGCGCCGTGGAGCCGTCGGCCAGGATGTAGTTTGCCGACACGTCGAGGCTGGTGAGGCTCGAGTTCTTGGCGAGCAGTTTACAGAAGGTGCCGAAGTGCGTGCCGTTGTACGCCTCCCGCTCATCTGCGGCCTCGATGCCGCACAGCTTGTTGTTCGACACGTCGAGCTCCGTGATCGAGGTGGCGCCCGCGATGCCGTGGCCGAGGTACACCGCGCCTTCCGGCCCCATCTCCTCGCCGCTCGCCTTCAGGCTGTGCAGCGCCTGCGAGCAGCACATGAGCACGGAAAGCGCACCTGCGCCGCCCGCCTTGAGGTTGCTCTTCATCGACCTCACGTTGAGGTCCGAGGCCGACAGCAGCGCCGGCAGGTTGGGCGCCGCCATCTGCACGCGCTCCCATCCGTTAGGCAAATCGCTAACCGCGTTCTTCGCCTGCACCGCATCCTTCATTCGCATCAGCATGTTGGCTTCGTTGTTGTAGTGCTCGGGCGGATGCGACGTCGACTCGGCCAGCATGTCTCGCAGCACGCTCTTCGCATAGCCGGGCAGATCGAAGGCCGCCTCCGCCCCGTCGGTGAGCTCCCTGAGCTCGGACCACGTCGTCTGCGTCATCTCATGGGCCAGTTCGAGCTGCATCGACTCGCACATGTCCATGCACAGCTTGCGCCGCCGTGAGACGACCTATTAACAACATTTCGACCGCATCGCTCGTATCCGATCGCTCTGACCTCTCTCCCCTCTCGGAGACGACCTGCTCGATGGTCAGCGCGGTGAGGTTGACCGAGAGGCGCGTCTCGACAACGATGACGCCGCTCTCCACCCTCGTGCCGAGCACCTCGAGTCCCGTCATAGGGGCGAAAAGGATTTCGGACTCGTGAGGGTATTGGCTCAGCCACGAGAGCGAGGCGCCGCGATCCACCATCCCCATCTGAATCTCGAAGCAGAGACCCGCCCCGCCGCTCCCCCCGTAGTGGAGCGCCACCTCCTTGTCGAGCGTGGTCGACATGAACGCGAACTCGACGCCGCCCGCGACGTTCCACTCGTTCTTGGCCCAAAACTCGCTCGGCAGCACGCCGCCGCTCACGCCGCGGTAGACCTTTTGCGCGGTCATGATCTTGGAGAGCTTGACGCACGATGAGTTGATGATGTGCAGCGTCGTCGTGTAGTTGTTGCCCAAGCACAGCTGCTCCAGCTTCTGCACGAAAAAGGGAGCCTTCCCGCCCAGGCCGCGCAGGATCGCGTTGTATCTGCGCGCGGGGTCGGAGGAGGAGGGGGGGTGGGGAGGGGGCTGTGGGCTGGCTGAGTGGGGGGGTTGTGAGCTGGCTGGGAGGTGGAGCCGGCGCAGCGGTGGCTCACTTGATGAACATTGGCCCGGTGTACAGCCGCGCTCCCCAGAACTCCTCATCGCAGAGCGAGGTGCAGTCCTGCGTCGCAAGCTGCTCGTTGACCCGCTGCAAGTCGATCGCAAAGTCAGAGATCGGGCGGGGCTTGCGGCAAAGGCTGCGCGTGTCCTCCCTCTCGCGCAGCTTGGTGTCCTCGGGCCACGGGTGCTTGCTGCCCGGCCCAAAGTCGGTGTGCTCCGGGTCGACCACGAAGTGATACTCCGTCTTCGCCGTCGTCGTTGTCCCATAGTTGCCCGCGTTGAAGGGGAGCCCGGAATCGGCCGAGTCACAGTGCTCCCGCTTCATCGCCTCCCGCAGCTTGGGGTTGGGCGTCCCGATCAGGCCCTCCAGCCCGCCGAAGAAGGTGTCCAGCCCTCCGTACGACATGGTGAAAGACTCGCCCTCCTGCACGAACTTTGCGTGTAGCTCTGCTCCGGTGGCGCCGCCCGAGGCGATGAGGGTCGACGCGCCGTCCCAAACAGCGTCGGCGATGCGGTCGAGTAGGTGAGGACCAGCCTGGCGGAGGAGCGCGGCCACCGACTCGCGTGAGCCGAGCTTACCTAGCGCGCGCACGAAGGGTAGCGCCAGCGATGCGTCGGCCGAATCGAGCGCCAGTGATGCGTCGGCCGAGATTGGCGAGAGGAGCGCGGCGGCGATGGCGTCGTTCAGCCCGAGTGAGTTTAGCCATTGCCCCATCTGCCACCCTTGGCTCGGGTCGCCCTGTGCCGATGGGGCGGCGAGCCTGGCTTCCGCCACGATCCGAGAGATGTCGGCCGACTGCTCCGCCCGCTGGACATCATGGACCAGCTGCTTCGGCCCTCGGGCTTGCTTGCTTGCCGCAGAGCCCATCTCCGCGTCGGCCGCATCGTCCTGCCGCTTCGCTATCGCGTCGTCAAGCTCCGGATTATCTGGCTTCAGCTGCTGTTCCTGCAGCGAGACGGACTTGCCCGGCTTACTTCTGCGGAGCAAGCCCATCCCTCACGGCTCTCGTTCGAGCGCTCTTGAAGTTGAGAAGCTGTCGGGACTAAGTGTCGGGCGATTGCCGAGCAGCCGCATGAATTGACACTGTCACGTCCCGAAAAGAAGAAAAAGCTACCCGCGTGATACTCGCCCGAATTCCGGACTCACTGCGCAGCGAACTGACGTCCCTCATTTTTCGTGTATCGCGCGCCTTGCGGGGGGGGGCGCGGAAAAGAGGAACCTCTTAGCGCCATCGCCTGGTGCTGCATCCAAGCAGGTACGAGGTAGCTCAGGAAGCAGCGGCCAGCGCCGGGCGACGACGACTTACCGCCTCCCGGTCCCCCTCGGCACACCTCCGCTGCTTAAGACGACTCGAACCCGTGAAGCTTCCCCTTGCGCGGGTTACCCCGCACACAGGTCAGCCTGCCAGCCCCACGTATCCACGCAAGCGTGGTCCGCGCGCATGGCATACAGGCGTTCGCCAGACAGCGCAGAGGCTAGGCGACCGGGGAAGGACTAGCTCAAGGGCAACACAGCGTCACCAGCCGTTGTCGTCTGTTCGTTTTGGGGGTCACCCTCCCCATCATGCACGCCGCCGCGTACAGTTGAGTTTCCAGCGCAGCACACGAGCACAAGGCCCTCCAAGTACCTGCCCACCATCGCAGGCGTCGAAGAGCTGGTCAATTCGCAGGCGAACTGCATCTTCGGTCCGGACGATGGGGCACCATGGTGCGAGACGTCGAAGGACCACAAGGGCTGGGTCTACTGCTACGAGGTTTCCGAGGAACAGGACGCCAAGGCGCGCTCTGGTAACGTCAACGGCTATATGGCGTAACCAACGAATGGCAGTACCAGGGGCAGTCGATGTGCCCTGACGCACCCCTCTGGGCCATGCACCCCAAGGACGGCCCGGCATTTCGGTCGCCCTGACGTGCACCTGATGTGTGCATCCGGCTGGCTGCGTGCCTGCGCCGCTCGTCTGTCGAACTGCACAGCTGTTGACAGCTACAGCTGCATCCAGCATGTTCCAGGTCGCGTTGTCGCCTCCCACACAGTACTCGAGTATCCAACATGTGTGCACTACGTAGAGGCAGAGAGAGAGGAGTTACGTTGTACGTGTACTTGTAGTCTGCCGATAAGAATGGGTTCGAGACCTCAAGAGACGAGACATCACGACTCACTCGACACTCGAGTTTGTCTCGAGGTCTCGAGTTGTTTTATCCTTTTGGTGACCAAGAACGTCTTTGAATATTGGTGAGCAAGGGAGTGGGTGCGCCACGGAAGGTGCGACGGCATGAAACATGCAGTATTTTTCTTGTTTTGTCCTCGACCGGCCCGGCGTGTGAGTCCGGTTGAGCGAGGATGCCAACGACACGCACGCCTCGACGGCCGCGCTGCTGGTAGCGATGGAGAAACGGCCTCTGCCCTCGCTCGGCGGCGGCGGCGGCGGCTGGTCCGGCCACCGCGACTATATGGTTGATAAAAGGCGCAAGCTCGCCGAGCAGTGGTCCAACACACCTGCCGTGAGCAGCGTGCTGTCGGGTGCCGTCGTCCACGTCAACGGTCTCTCGGAGACGGCCAACGACCACCTCGTCTCGCTGGTGCGGTCGCTGGGCGGTGACTATGAGCAGAACCCGGCCTCGACGCGGCTCACTCATTTCGTCATCAACCAGCTCTCATTCGCGAGGCAAGTGGCCATCAGCTCGAAAAAGACGCTCGGCAGCTCCTTCCACATCGTCACCGAGGCGCGCGCGCGCAGACCCCGCCGCCCGACCGCCGCCCCCGCCGCGGCGCCCCACCGCCCTCACATCCGCGATGGTTTCTCCTCCACCGCCGCAGGACTGGCTCCTCGCCTGCTCGAGGGAGGGGTGCCGCCCTCGGGAGGCGAGCTACATGCCCGCAGGGATGCGAGACCCGCACCAGCCGTCGCTCGGCTTTGCCGCGCCGCCGCCGCCGGCGGACAGCTCTAGACGCGGCACCCGGGAGAGATGGGCGGAGGAGGAGGCCGCCGCAGCGGCGGAAGCAGAGGCAGCGGCGGAGGCGGTGGCAGCGGTGGAGGCGGCCGAGGCGGCCGAGGCGGTGGCTGCGGCTGCGGCAGCGGAGGAGGAGCAGGGACTAGATCCGCGTCCCGAGCGGGAGAGCGAGGGCGACCTTCTGTACGTGAGTCTGCGGTGCACTGGCGGCACCGCGGCGCTGCGGCGCGGGATGGTGGCGGCGGCGCTGGCGGCCATGCCAGCCGCGCTGGAGATGCACGCCTACGCGGACGGGGAGGCGATCTCGCTCGAGCCGGCTCGCAGGAGGCTGGTGGAGAGGGAGGGCCCCGCCCTGCGGCGCGCCCTCCGCTGCGCGCTCGGTGTGCGAGGGGCGACCCTCTCTCCTGCGGAGCCGGGCCCTCCTGCGGAGTCGGGCGCCAGCGCGGGAGCCCGCCGCCAAGCCCACTAATTATTAAGTTAATTATAATTATTAATTCACAGGAGCCCGCCGCCAAGCCCGCCACGCAGAGGCGCGCTGCGGCATCGGAGCCGCGCGCTCGGCGGCGCTCTCGCGGCAAGCATCCCTCGCCGCCTTGCGCGGCGGCTACTCGCACGCCTCCGCCGCCGGCCCCTCCTCCGACCCGGCGGGCGGCGGGGCGGACGGCGGGGCGGGCGGCGGGGAAGGCGGCGCGGAGGGCAGCGGTGTGGGCGGCGGCGGGGAGGGTGGTGGCGGGGAGGGTGGCGGCGGGGAGGGTGGCGGCGGTGTCCGTGTCCTCGCCGCCAGAGACGAGGCGCCGCTCCTCGCCGCGCGGCCGCTGAGTGCCCTCCTGCCCGCCATCTCCTCTTCCGAGGTTGAGGCTCTCTTCACGGCAGACTGCACGACCTGCGCAGAGCTACACGCCCTCTGCGGGGAGGGTGGGGGGAAGCGACCCGCGCGACCGCCGCCGGAGGCGGCGCTGCGAGCAATGATCGGCGAGCCGCGAGCCGCGGAGCTGAGCCGGTGGGCTCGCGCCGCCAGTCTTGTCGGAGGCGGCGCCTCCGGGGCGAGGTCCGGGGTGAGGGTCGCGCAAGGCTTGCCGTTGCGAGATCGCAGTTGCTGCGAGTCGTGCGCGCGGAGAGAGGCGGCGCAGGCGCTTCGCTTCTCGCCGCCCCACCCTTCCCTCTACCCCCGCTCCCTTCCTCCACACTCCTTCCCCCCTCTCCCGGGGCAGCGCGTCGCCTCCTGCGACACGGCAGCCCACGTGCATTTGGAGGGCAGTGCCAGCCCGTGTCTCACGCGCCCGGCGTGTCCCGCAGGCGGTCGAGGGAGTGAGCACCACACAGGGACCGTTTCCCGCGGCTCTCGACGCCCCAGGCGGCGGCGAAGCGCAGGGGCAGCCACCGCCCTCTCCGGACAAGTGGGCGTGCGAAAAGTGCACGCTGCACAACCCGATGCAGCACCTGGCGTGCAGCGCTTGCGGAGAGAAGAGGCCGCAGCAGGTCCAGTCGCCTCGCCTGCCCCCCCCCAGCCCCCCCCCCCCCAGCCGCCCTCCCCTTCCGCAGGCGCATTCGCCCCCGCCGGCTGCGCGCACCGCTCTGTGGCCCTTGCATGCGCCACCCACATCCCGCGCCTCCGCCCGCGCCCCCGGGGCGCGAGGGCGGAGGGGCGCGCGCGGAAGGGGCCGCGCCTCCCCTCGCGGCGGAGCCAGGAGCCGCACTTCGCCTCGCGGCGGCCGGACTCCTCCGACGAGGCACGGCGGCGGGAGCCGCGTCGGCGGCGCCGTGAGTGGCGTCAGCGGCGGCGGCGGCATCGACCGCGGGCCCCGCGCCACGTCTCCGGTGCCGGCTGCATGGGCAGAGGAGTACAGCGCGGCGTTTTGCGGCGAGGAGGCCGGGACGGCAGGCAGGCCGGGTTCGGTCGGGGGCGTTGCCGCCGAGAGCGAGGATGAGGCGCTGCGGCAGATGGCGCGCGCGGGCTGGCAGGCGGCGCGGCCCCTCATCTCGAGCTGGCTCGACACGGTGTGCGAGGAGGGCGCAGAGGCGGAGGGCGCGGAGGAGGGCGAGGCGAGCGGCGCGTCGCCGCTCGCGCGCTACTTCGCCGCCCTCGTGTCGGAGCGGCGGCTCGATCAGCTCGGGCTGGCGATCTCCTTCCTTGCGCGGCGAGTCGAGGCGATGCCGAGCGGGGGGCAGGGGGCAGCCACCCTCGGCAAGCTCGTGCTTCCGCTCGCAGACTTGGTGCGCGACTAGCCGAGAGGTGGTCGAGGTTTAGAGCCGCCACGAGCCGAGAGAAGGAGTGTAGGCAGGGGCATAGAGGTGACCGGCGCAGCCGTTGCTGCAGGTCGACTCGCTCGTTTCAGGGGTGTACGGTGCCGGCAGCACCTTTGGCCCGTGCGACGCGCTGAGACGTGCGGCGGCGTTGGAGGGCACGGAGAAGCTTTGGCACGTGACCGCGGATGAGAGGTTTGCGGAGGAACTTGAGCAGAGCAGACATGACAGTCATAGACATGACTCATGGACGTGAGCCCAGAGAGTCATTGTGTCGTCTCGATTTTGCAATTGCACTGTCATTGTCATCTATCTGTCTCACGCGCGGAGTGTTTTCCACAACGAGACCCAGCGCAGGCCGGCCACAGGCCACAGAGCCGCCTGTCGAGAGTGTCGCGCGTTACGAACCGGCCCATTTAGCCCCCATACCATTTTGTGTAGACCACGCGCGACGCGCGGTCCACGCCCCGAGGCCCGGAGCCTTTTTTGCTTTTTATCAGAGACAGAGTCCCGTGACCCGTCTCGACTCTCGTCCGACGTCCCGCCGTCTCCCGACGCCGAGACCCTCCGTCGAGCGTCGACCGGGTCGAGTCGTCCCGGGCGAGAACAGCCCCTTGGAGTGTGAAGGCTTCGTAGCCCTCCGGTCTACTATGAAGACCCGCAGGGCTGGAGGCGAAAAAGAAGCAAGCGAGTGCGCCGCGAAAGACCCCCCCCCCCCCCCAGTTGGACCCGACGGCCACCTCCTCGGCTACCCCTCGGCAGGGATAGATAGGCGTGCTCGCTTGCTTGGCTTGGCGGTCTTGTCCTGCGCCCCGGCCTGGGCAGCGGCCAGCACGTCGCTCACGAGCGCCGCGCGCACCGCCCAGCCCTCAGTCGCGTGCGAGTGCAAGAGCGGCTCGAGGCTCGCACCGGCGTGCAGCCTCGCCAGGAGGGTGCTGCAGAGCGCACGCAGCATCCGCGTGCCCTTCCCGGGGTAGACCTTCAGTGGCGGTGCGCCGGGGAGCAGGTCTTCCAGCTTCTCGATCGTGCACTCGTCCTCGCCGCCCGTGGCGGCGAGGGAGGTGAGCAGGGGCACCAGCAGCGCCTCCTGGGTCGGCGGCGGCTGCACCGTCGCAACGCGCTCTCGCTGCAGGAAGCGTCGCACGAGCAGCAGGGTCACGTAGGAGCCAAGGCCCTCGCCACCGCCTGCTCCGCCGCCACCGGCGTAGCCCTCAAGCTCGCGCAGCTCGCGACCCACCGCACGACGCAGCAGGCAGTGCAGCCCGGCGAGGAGCGCGCCGCCCGGCGCGAGGACCGCCGCGCGCGTGGCGTCGACCCGACGCTTGGCCTCGCACTCTGCGACATCCGCTGCCGCCTCGTCCATCCACACGTCGACTGCGACGCCCGTCGCCCTGTGCACCATGCGTAGTAGCGGCGACCCGCGGGCCCAGCGCGGCGCCTCGAAGCCGTGCTCCTCCAGGGTGGACTCGAGTGCCGCGTCGACATCGCCCTTGTTGCGCACGCGTGGCCGGCCTGTCCGCTTCGCCTTCTTGCTCTGCTTGCGGACGCGCACCGATGGGAGGTGATCGCCGCAGAGGAGCAACACCAGCAGCGGGTCGCCAAGCGGCTCGTCCCCAAGCAAGCACGGGAATGTCGCCGCGGACCTCACGCCGGCCAGGCACGCCACGAGGTCCACGTCACTAGCATCGAGCGCTAGCCCGCTCGCGACGGAGCCGACGACGGCGACAGGAGCCGTCGGCACATATGTCTTGAGGAGGGTCTTTGCGGCAGACGTTGCCAGCCGCCGATTGCCAGCCGGCGCTGAGGGATTTGGGGCGGTACGCTGACTGCTGCTTGATGCTGCGGTGGTGGCTGCCTTCTTTTTGAGGAGGAGCAGTTCCGTGCTCAATGCCGTCATGCGGGCTTTCAGCGCCTCCTTTTCGCTGCGAGGTGCGACGGCCGTTGCAGGCGCCGATGCAGTTGCGACAGCTGCATCGGCGCGAGGCCCGCCTGGCGGATCATTCGTGCTGCACACATCCGAGGCAGCGATGGAGTCGCTCATCGAAGGCAGGAGACAGAGGTATATACTTTCAGAACCTACAGTCGTTGTAGGTATATTGTTGGCAGATCAAGACACAGAGCTCACACAGAATCACAGCGGGAGGAAAGCGGCGAGTCGCAATTCCTGGGGTCCTTGTGGCGGGCCACCCTGTCCAGTCGTACTCGTGAGGGAGCGCTAGTCCGGAGCGCTGCTTTTGGGAGGTAAAACACGGCGGACCAGGAAGGTAAAACTCGGAAAGGCGAGGTGAAAATAGAACAAATTAAAGACGGAAAATAAAACGGAGACGCCAAACGATCGGTAGGAGATGGACAGGGTCCCCAACGAGCAGGATCTTGCACTAACAACAGTCAACACAGCAAAATAATTTTACAAAAGCTCCCTCTCCCGACACTGGGCACGGGACTGGCGCCACTGGCTTGACACCTAACAACATACCTACAAACCTGCTCTAGACAGGGAGCGAGAATTCTCACAGCGCGACGGGACGCACGACGACGCGTCGCTCTTCGATACCACATCAAATTTGCGTGCGACCATCGCAGCTCACAGCTCACAGCGAGCGTCTGGGGCGCAGCTCACGTGAGCACCGATGGGGATGATGCGCACGACCTTTTGGGTTGGCGCCGTGTCCTGCGGCCTCACGCTTCTGCAGAGCGGCCGACTCATTGCCAAGCACCGGCGCCACTGGCACAACCCGCAGCAACAGCGCTGTATTGTCGTCATCATCAGCAGCGTCCCCATTTTTGCTGTCAATGCATTCGTGTCGCTTCTCATCTTGCGCGGCAGCAAGACTGTCGGCCTGCATGCACCCGAGTGGCTCGACCTCGTCCTCGACGGTGCCAAGGAGTGCTACGAGGCCTTCGGTCCGGATGCCCTAGCTACCCTTCCTCCGTCCCTCGCCTTTTGTTTGTGAAAATTGCCTCTCTGCGCAGGCATCTGGTCATTTCTCGAGCTGATGCTGAGCTACACAGGTTGCGTGAGCGCTCCGAACGGCGCCGCAGTGGGCGTGCCCGACAAGCTGAAGGGCGTGGAGGTGCACCTGCCGTTTCCGCTGCCGCTCTTCTGCGGCGCCTCGCACTGGACCTTCGACAGGCGGGTCGCCGATCGTCTGCGGCGGTGGGCGATGCAGTTTGTGTACGTGAGGCCAATCCTCGCCGTCCTGACAATCACCGCGACGGGCCTCGGCGTGTACGAGAAAGTCTGGGTCTGGCTTCCCATTTCGGTCGCGCTCAATGTCTCGATGACCGTCGCTCTCTACTCCCTCCTCCTCTTCTACCACTCCTTCGAGCGGGAGCTCTCGCGGGGGAACCATTGGGGGGCCCGTCGCCTGCCCGCATCGAGCCTCCGCAGACGCGTCCGACTGTGCGAACAGGCACCAGCGCCCGCTCGCCAAGTTCCTCTGCATCAAGGGTGTCGTCATGTTCTGCTTCTGGCAGGGCATCGTTCTGCAGCTGCTCGAGGCCGCCGGCGTGGTGCGCGCGGGTCACTTCTTTGACCTGGCGGAGAGGAGCACGATGATCCAAGACGCGCTGGTCTCGCTCGAGATGTGCCTCATCTTTGCGCCGCTGCACGTCTATGCCTTCTCCGCCGACGACTACCTGGAGGAGGGTGCGCCGGCGGGTAGCCCGATGCCGTCGACGCCTGCCCAGCCCGTGGCGAAAAACAAGGATGCGTGACACACTCACACGAGCAGCTCAGCAGCGAGCACAGCAGCAGGCGTGGACGCGGCGCGGGGCCCCGGGGGCGGGTCCCGGGGCCGCCTCGATCGCGGGGACGCGGTTTCTGGTTGGTTGAGTTCTTGGATCTTGCCCCTGCGCGCCCTGTAGCACGTACTTATGCCAGCCTGTACAGGGGGGGCTTGGTGCCCCTGAGAAGGTCTCGCGTGAGGTGTGTGTCGGACGCACGTCCCGGGTCCGCGCCGCCGCCGGCGCGCGGCGCCGCGGGCGAGGCCGGAGAGAGCGAGAGGCGCGAGAAGCGGCCCGTTCGCGGTTCCCGCGGGGTTCCGCGCCGTCCCCGCAATTACGGTTTACGCGGCTTTACGACCGCGCTTGCGTGGCCGTGGGCCGGTTTTAGGTGTGGCGGTAAAACACGTACAGTGCCGAGAACCAGTGAGAAGTGAGTCACACACCTCTGGACATTTCACCTTCTCATCTCCGATCGGTCCGTTTTGCAGTTTTGTTTTGTGCCTTTGAGATCATGCAGATTGTCGCAGACCATCGCCTTTGTCTGTTTCTCATTCCATGATCCAGGTCACAGCACGACCTGCCGGGTCGCGGTACCCGCGCTCGTCGCAGCCATGTGGCCACAGTTCCGCGGCTCTCTCCTCTCCATCTCGCTGTAAGCTAAAGATATCGCTGCGCCGCTGTTGTGCAGCGATAGCTGCCGCCTCCGACATGTAGGAGGCTCTCTGAGCCGCAACCACCTCCGCCGCTGAACTTGCAGCAGTCTCCCTGGTCGCCTTCTCCGACTCGACGCGAGCCACCTCCTCCTCTGCTGCCCTTTCGGCCTCTGCGCGTGCAGCTTTGGACGCGCCAGCGGCGTACAACCGGACGGCACGGTCGAGGTCGTCAGCTGCGCGTGCAGTGCGATCTGGAAGGATGGCCGTGCAGTCGCGAGGCCGTCGCGGCGACTCGGGCACCATCTCACGCAGCGTAACGCTGGACTGTGTCACTCGGAGCCGATTCGCAAGCGCAGCGGCGCTCGCTTGTCGCCTTCTCCAGTCGTGCAAGCAGGACATCTCCCGCCCCTGCCGGTGTGCGGTGAGCTTCGCCGGCCCGACGCCGCCGCCCGGCATTCGCGATGCGGCGAGTACGAGGGCGTCCATGTGAAGTGGAGTACCGTCGTAGTGTGTTTGAGTGCCGGCGGCGATTTCTTTTGCACTCGATACCAAAAAAATCTTTTCGCCTGGACACAACGATGGTACTCTCCTGGCAAGTAGAGGCACAACGCACGCTCTCCCGAGGTCTCTTGGAGCAGAGCCCCGGCGAGACCTCGATCCTCGAAAGAGCAATGGGTCCCTCGAGAGGGTACCCTGGGTGGGCGGGGCCTCTACTCGCCAGGGTACTCTCCTAAGCTGTGAATCAGACGCACTTGCCTCGGGGGCAATCCCGCGGGTGGGCGTGCTTTCAGGTGGGCGTGCTTTCACAGCCTCAAAACACAGCCTCACGAGAGCACAACGATGGCCTCCGCAAGAGCGCTCCAGCTGATCGCGGCGTTCGCGGTGACGCCGTGTGCGGCTCTCGTCCTCCCCGGCTCTCGTCTCCTTTCGCCGTCAGCGCGTCACTCTCCCGCATGCGCTTCCGACGCTGCGCCGGTTGACGCCTCACTGCGGCAGCAGATGAAGGCGTATCTCGATCACTGCAGAGCCACGGGCCGCGAGCTGACCTCTGAGCAGAAGGCAATGATTGCCGAGATCGAGAAGGACGAGGCGCTCCTCGACCAGACCGGGTTCGTCGACTTTTCGAAGTCACCGCCTCCGCCGATCCCAACTTCTGCCACCTCTCCTGCCGCCGCGCCGCCGCCGCCGCCCGCCCCGCCGCCGCCCGCCCCGCCGCCACCCGCCCCGCCGCCACCCGCTCCGCCGACCCCCGCCCCGCCGCCTCCAATCTCCTCCGTGTCCTCGGCGGAGGCGGATGCGCAGGCCGCTGTCGCTCAGCGGCTGTGGCTGCTGCAGGTCCTGCAAAGCGCCTCTCGCCCACCCACCTCGCCCCCGACCGACCGTTGCTCCTTGTGCCCCGCAGCGTCGCGAGTGCGAGGCCGCCGAGCGCCTGCTCGCCGCGAGGGTCGCCCGCGGCGTGCCTCTGCCGCCGGAGGAGTCAGAGAGCCTCCGCGCCTCGCTCGCCTCGCTCGTGCTTGCCCTCTCGGCCTTGTGAGAGGCCGCGACGCGCAGCAGTGCTGCGCTTGCGAGGCGACCTCTCGCTGGCACGCGGGTTCTCTCGCCGGCTCTTACGCCTATCGCGTTTTCTTCCCGGCGTCGTTTTCATCTGTTTACGTACCCAACACGAAAATAAAGCGATAAGGTAGCGTGCAAAAGTAGTCTCCCTATACTCCGCTCTCGAGACTCGAGACTCTCGACACTCGAGGTCGAGAGCTCTCTCGACTCCAACTCACAGTTAGGGACGAGCCTCCACGAGCCGCGAGCGCGGCTCTCCCCCTCTCGCGCCTCTCCCTAGCCTAGCCATAGTCTTGTCTACCTGTTTGTGGCGCGAAGAGGCACACGGCAACGGACACGGCGAACAGCACTGGGAAGACCAGGAACATCGCGACGAAATCGCCCCTGCGCGCCCGCGAGAGAGAGGGCCAGTCAAATTCGTGTGTCCGTGTCCATGTGTGTGCGCGTGTGCGCGCGCGTGTGTTGTGCTGTTGGGATCATGGGAGAGGGGCGCGCGTCGCACCACAGCGCGACTTGCGTCAACACGTGAGCATGTCTGCGCCTCCAACCCCTCTTGGCTTCTCCGCACCAGTCATCGAGCCGCGACCTGCGGCTGCAGCGGGCCGGGGCGGCCACTGCCGGTGCCCCTTCCGCGTGAGCTTGCGGCTCCACCTGCTGAGTCGGCGCCACGGCGGATGGGCCCGGTGGGTTGCTCGTCCTGATCACCATGCCCTGCGGGCTCAGCCTGCCCTTGCGTGGCAACTGGTGGGCGCTCGCCGCCGCCGCTGCCCTCCGCCGCCACGTGTCCAGCTGCTTCTTGCGCCTCCAGGCTCGCTGCAGCCGCATGATGGCGAGCACAGCGAGCTGGTTGTTGGTCAGCTCTTTGATGCGCGCCTCGAGCTCCTGCCGCCGCTTCTCGTGCTTCCAACACTGACAGACGATGATGGACTCCATCGCCATGAGGGCGAGGATGAGGGTGTTGGTCACCGTGAACCACTGCAGCCGAGAGAGATTGCCCATCTCCGGGAGGTTCTCTACGAGCACGATCTGGAAGACATTGATGGCCAGGAGGAGGGTGAGGGTGATTGCAAGGCGTGAGTCAACGTTGGACGGGGCGATGCCAAACGTACACCAGCCGAGCACCACGAGCAGCGACTGCGTGACAATGTAGTTGAGGATGTGGTACGTGTTGCGCCGTTTGATGGTGAGCGAGAACGTCACCTCGCAAACCGAGTGCGCCCCGCTCTCAAGGTGGGCGCGCAGCCACGGGCCCTCGATCAACTCTCGCATCCGATACGCGGGGTTCTTCTCGTACGACCACTCGGTCGACTCGAGCTCGACAATCGGGTCGCGAGAGCGCTGTACTACGTGCGCGGTGAAGTCCATGATGTCCCACACCGGGTGCGCCGGACGCGGAGAGCGGCGCACCTGCGACGCATCGCCGCTCCAGAGGTCTGGCTTGTCGCCCTGCTTCCAGCCGCCGCCGAGCTGCATGCTCGATAGCTCGACGATCGTGGCGTCGCGGCCGTCGCCGTCGGGTGGGCCAGTGGCGAAGCACGCCTCGTCCGCGGTGACGCCCGAAGGCAATTTGAAGGTGAAATTGAGGGTGTGGTCGTCAAACGGGATGTCCGCCTGGTCGAGCACGACGAGGAACTTTGCCCGCTCGCGGTATTGCCGGTAGGCGATGCTCCGGTTGTGGTTTGGTATGGCGATAGTGGGATCCGGTCCCTGTTCCAGCCCAACGTGAGTAAAAAGCCCGAGATCCTCGATGATCTGCGGCTCCTCGTCGCCGAGCAGGGCGTCGGGCAGCACAATATCTGGCTGCCAGTACAGCGAGCAAGGATCTGTCGAGTCTGATCCGTCGGAGATGAACCCGTCGCAACGCGAGAAGATGCGTCGGTCCGTCCAGGCGAGGTAGACAAAGTACTCGACTGGGGTAGGGGGAGGCACCGTCCGCGTGGTCAGTCGGGAAGAGGAGGGAAGGGGCAGAGGAGGGAAGGGGACACCTTCCTACTGACCGTACGATGAGGAGGGAAAGGTGTGGCGGGGTGCCTTGGAAGTAGTCTGGTGCATGCACGTCGATGAGCCTCTCCAGGATGACCTGCGGGTAGACGATGGTGGGGCCCGTTGAGAGTGGGAACATGGCGTGCGGGTCGTAGACGCCGGGCTCGCTGAATTGTTCAAGGTAGCCCTTGTACGCCCCTTTGGCGCTGTAGCCTTGCCCCCACGTGAAGCCGAGCTCCACATAGTCGGCGACATCGAGCCCCGCCCACTGTGCGCCGCCAATTTCCTGTGCGTAGAAGATCTCGTGCGCTGTGTTAGGGAGGCCGATGACCCCCCCGGACAGGAGGAGCATGAGCGCGGTGGCCGCCTGGTCCCACATCACAGGCGGCCGCCGCGGTGTGGACATCACTGCACGGACCGAGTCGGCCGTCACCCAGTGGGCGCCGCACGCTTCTGCCACCGCGATCAGCCACTCTTTGAAGGCGCTAGAGAAGCTGAAGGTCAGGAGGAGGGTGTTTGCCACAGCCTCTTCCCGTTGTGCAGAGTTGCACTCTGGTGCTACGAGTTTGCCCACCTAAGGGATCAGCAACTCTCGAGGTTCGCTGTGACTGTTGTACCCGGGTAGCGACGGCAGTGTTGGCCGATTGCGAAGACCTCGCAGTCGGCCTCCAGCCCTTTGAGACAGCCTTGTGGGAGTACAGCTTCACTAATCGCGCCGTCAGGAACGGTGCGATTGATGGAGATCAATGCCGCAATCTCGGCCGAGTAGTGCCACCCCAGAATCACGCAATCGCAACTCCCAGCCGCACTGATTGGCCGCGACATCACCGCGACCAACGCTAGGAGAAGATGCCGTGACGACATCTCCGGACGCACTGCCGGGACGCCTGCCACGCACATAAAGACGACGGAAGCTTCCGGCCAGAACTCTTCCGCTCCGAAAAAAACATTTTTGCGCTAATAGTTAGTTAGGTCACGACGTGTCTGCTGTGAAGGGCCGAAGCAATGAGTAGCCTGTCGAGCATAGTTAGGTGAGGACGTGTCAACTGTGAGGTGCCGACATGTGGAGCGCCTAGATCTTCATCTGTTAGTGTGAATAGCCACAAAGCTCGCTGGCGCGGCTTGTGAGTTATGCCCGGCGAGGGCGCCTTCACGGCCCGATCCTCCATCGGTGGTGACCCTGTCGAACGGCTCAACAAGGCCAAGTCCTACAAAAATCCCTTCTCCATGATGATCGCGTCGACGCGCATGTCGAAAACAGCGGCCGAGGCGAAGCTCAAGGAGCAGAGTGCGCGCCGTGCCCCGACGCCCACCCGCGGGCCCACCCTCGCGCCCCCGCTCCCGCCACCACCACCTCGCCTGTCCGGACTCCCTCCGCCTCGAGGGCGCGCGCGAACCCCTCCCCTTGGCGGCGGCGAACCCACCCCTTGTGCGCGCGCGACGTGCAGTGGAGGCGTGGAACCAGGAGTCGCTCTTCAAGAAGCTGTCGGACGTGCCGATGCAGTTCGAGGCCGACCCGACGCAGCACACCCTCGCGACCACCAAGGAGTGGGAAAAGACCAACCCTAAGCGTGGCGGCGCAGCCTTTGCGGTGCTCGAGTACGAGAGATAACGCGGCGCCTCGCAAAATGGCGCAGTTTTCGGGGGTTGTCCGCGCGTCGTGGGGGGGGGGGGGGGGGGCTGCTGGCGCCGCCGGTTGGGAGTTCAGCGGTCCACACACTCGGCAGCACCCCGCTGGAGCGTGCCTCGGGCTCCTCTCTCTCTCGGCCACCCTACGATCGCTTCGTCGGCGTTTTGAACGGTTCCGCTTATTTCTTTTATGATGCTTGTGTGTCAGGCAGATTCACCGAAACTGAACAATTTTGGACACGCGCGCGTCCGCCGCACGGTCAGCTACGCCCCCGGTCGCGCGCTCCACGAGCGCCGTCCACCCGGATCGGCGTACGGCGATCGCGTCCGTCGAGACGCGCCGCTCTGCTTGTCTCCTCGCGCCTCCCCGCGTCTCGCAGTCGGCGAGCGTTTAGCGGGGCGGCGGTCATGCAGCAGAGCAGCTTCCCACGAGGGCGCGCGGCGGGCAGCGACTGGCGTGCAGCAACTGGCGCAGGGCACGCTACTCGGGCTTACTCGCGCGAGCACACGGCGGCCTCGCTCGGGGTCGGCGGCGGCAGCCTCGCGGCGAGACCGGCGACAGTCGTGCCGAGGGCCGCCGCAAGCACCTCCCTCGCGTCGCCGTTGTCGAAGCTGGATGTCTCGCGGTGCGTGTAAACGACCTCTCCGTTCCTCACGACGAAGGTTCCACCGAGCAGCTTTGTTTTTGCGTCAGAGACGTCGGCCGTGCTCGAGCCAAAGGAGCGCGCGTAGGACACCACGTTCTTCAGCACCCAAGGCTTGAGCAGCCACATGTTGCGCACAGAGGCGCCGCGCCCGCCGTGGATCGCCTTCTTGAAGGCCTCCTCCTCGTCCACCCAAACCTCGCCGCCCGGCCAGACGGCGTCCACAAACTCCTGCACGCCGGTGTCGAGCGAGGTGATCACCGCCAGCCGCGCGCCGGCACGCTCAAACTCTGGCCGCAGCGCGGTCAGGTCAGCCGCCAGCCGGCGGCAGTAGGGTCATCCGAGGCGGCGCACGGCGTAGACGACGGTCGGCCGATCGCCCTTCCAGAGCGTATCGGCGCGCACAGTCCTCGTCGCCGGCCAGGGCCCGCGGACCGTCGCGCCGGCGAGCGCGGCGAGAGACACGCCAGGAGTGGGCATGTGGAGAGCGAGACAGAAAGACGGACAGAAGCAGCACCCTCCTGCTGAGGACGCGGCCGGCTTCGTGGAAATTTCCTTCTGTTTATGTTTTAGGTATATTGTTGGCAAATCAAGACACAGAGCTCATCACACAGATTCTGTTTATGTAGTGCAGCGGGAACTCTTCTTTTCGAAGGTTGCAAGGGCAGATAATTCTTCTTTTCGAGACATCGGTGTGTTTGCACAATGCCGTCCCGCGTGTGTTTCGCCACGGTCGGCACGACGCAGTTCGACGCCCTGACGCTCGCTCTCGTGTCCCACGAGGTTACCGGGCTGCTCGCCAGACACGGCTACTCGTGCTTACGGCTGCAGATTGGACGCGGAGCGGAGCCCGTGCTCCCGTCCGACCCGCCGCCGCCAATCCCGATTGAGTGGTGCGCTCGGCTCAAGTCCTCGGGCGGCGCGCTCCACACACTCCCGCTGAGCGATCTCCGCGCGTCCCGCAGGTATCGCTTCAAGGACTCGCTCGAGGCCGACATGCGGTCCGCGGCGCTCCTCATCTCGCACGCGGGCGCAGGCTCAATCATGGAGGGGCTACGCTGCACCGCGCCGCTCCTCGTCGCTGTCAATGACGGTCTCAATCCATCCACCCACCCCACCCCACCACACGTACTTGCCGCCTGATCGGCCGCCCGCCCCTACCCCGCAGGCCTCATGGACAACCACCAGCAGGCCCGGCCACCCTTGGGCCTCCGCCGCACGGTAGAGAGAGGTGCGCTAGAGATGCGCCCTCCGACCGCCCTGCCCCGCCCCGCCCTCCATCTGCGCCAGGAGCTTGCGCACGAGCTCGACCGGCGAGGCCACCTCATCGCCACGACGCCGAGAGGCCTCTGCGCGGCGCTCGAGGCGCTGCCCGCGCGCGCCGCCTCGCTCGAGCCATGGCCGGAGGGCGACGCGACCGAATTTGCGCGGTACCTCGGCGCCGCCCTCGGCGTCGGGGCGGGCTGAGACACGGCGGCCCCTGCCAACTGTGTTTCATTGTGTTTTTCATATGTATATCGACACACTCGCTTAATTCCATTCACACTTTCACACGCGCGGGGGGGCGGGTCGCGCGGGGGGTCGCGCACCCAGCGAGCAGGCCCAGGCGCACGCACCACACAGTGTTTCACTGCGCGGGGGGCGGGCTGCATGGCGGCGGGCGGTGGCGCGCGGTGTGCAAAGGCATCAGGCATAGACTAAAACGAATAGCTAATCGCGTCAGAGTGAGAGTCCGTCACACAACGACGACGCTCGTGTCAGGGTATACTCGTATACAACGACGGTTCTCCGCGCGGCGCCGCGCCCGTCACCGCTCGCGGGCGCGCGCTCCCTGCGTGGGGCTCTCGCTCTCTCTCGCGCTACATGTGCATGCATGTGTAGTCTCTCTCGCGCGCTCGGCGTCGGGTGGAGCTGGGGGTGCCGATCAAGTATGCGGGGGGTAATCTTCTCGCCCAGCCGCGCGCCGGACCCGTGTGGAACGCCGGCGCTACTCCAGCCCCTGCGGCGGCCACGTCACGCGGCGCGACGGGTCGTCCACCGAGCAAGCGGAGCACTGCCAGCCCGCCGCCTCCATCGAAGCGCGCAGCGACGCCGCGTCGCGCCGCCACTGCCCGAGCGACGCGGCGCTGGCGGCGGCGAGGCCCCGCATCGCCTCCTACTCGAGGCAACCGGCCGCGCCGACCGTGAGAACCGCTCGTCCCGCACCCGCCACGACCAGCCGGCTGCGCGGCATTCGGCGCCTCGCGGCCGCCGCGCAACGAAGGCGCCGAAGCGGCGGCGGCAAGCCACGCCACCGCGAATCCGTCGATGACGTCGGCGGGCGCCGCGTGTGTGTCGTAGAGCAGCAGCAGCCTCCCGCCGCCGGACGCGCAGAGAGTCCACGGCGGGCTCTCGCCGCCGCCCTCGCGAGCCTAAGTGGGAACCCCGCCCGGGAAGGGTGAAGCCGGGCTCCCGCCCGCCGGCCTGCGACACACCTCCTCGCTCGCCGCGCGTCGCCACGCTAGCAGCGCCGCCACGTCGCCTACGCCAGTCGCCCCTGAGGGTCAGCTGAGCGCTCGCAGACTCGGTGTCCAGCGCCGCCGCGTCGCCGGGGCTCGAGACGGCGGGGCCCACGTGCAGAGTCACCTAGGCAGGGGGCTGGGAGTCCAACCCAGAAACAGCTCTGCCTAAAGGGCCTCACGGTGCACCGCCACACTAAGGTCTACGCCCTTAGCCACACCCCGTCGGCGACGCGCAGCTGCCCGGCGTCCGAAGAGAAGAGCTCACGCCACGCGCTCGCGCGAGCGGCGAGGCTGTGCCGCACACTCCAGCGCGCCGCCAGCTCCGCGTGCAGCGCCTCCGGAGAGGGGCACTCCCCCCACCCTGCGGCTGCATCGACCGACGCTGCGGCTGCAGTGCCCGGCGGCGGCGCCGCGCCTCCCTCGCCGCACGGAGCGCCGGCCCGCGGCTCGGCCCAACGCGCCACGACGCGGCGCAAGGAGACCGCCGTGACCGACGTCATCACCACGCACTGCGATGCTCTCACCGGGGCGTAGAAGCCGGCGGCGGCGCCTAGCACGAGCCGGGGGGGAGGAGCCGGGGAGGAGGGCTCAGAGAGGGGCGCTGCGGCGAGCTGCGGCGCCAAAGTGGCGCGCGGGGGAGGGCTGCGGCGGCGCCGGCGGTCAGCGCGCCGAGCTGGCCTGGAGCGGAGAGGGCGCCTCAGCGCTGGAGGGGATGAGGCGGGGGCGGTGGCGGCGGGGGCGGCGGGGGCGGCGGGGCGGAGGCTGGGGCGGCGGGGCGGAGAGTAGGAGAGGGCGGTGGCGGCGGCGGTGGCGGCGGAAGCGGCGGCGGCGGCGGCGGTGGCGGATGGGGAAAGCGCCGCGCGCCCCAAAAGCCAAGCACGTGCGTGAGGCTGAGGGCGGTCAGGGCGCCGAAGCAGTGCATCAGCATGCCCAGCGTCCCCAGCTTGGCCGTGATCTCCCCCAGGTTGTCCCCTAACAGTGATCTCCCGTGATCTCCCCCAGGTTGTCCCCTAACAGCGATCTCCCGTGATCTCCCCCAGGTTGTCCCCTAACAGTGATCTCCCGTGATCTCCCCCAGGTTGTCCCCTGACAGCAGAGGAGACCTCGAGGCCCGTCCCCCCGCCCACTCCCTCCCGCGGGGCGAGTCACCCGTCGCCAGCGTCTTTTGGAGGACGGCGCGCGAGGCGCCGATGATCAGGTAGCCTACGGCCATGTCCAGCGCCGGTGAAGGCTCGTGGCGAGGCTCGTGGCCTCTGCCTGGCGCCAGCGCGCGCGCGACCAGTCATCTTTCCGACGTTGGTGAGGATGGCGAGCCCCATCCAGGACGCCTTGGGCAGCAGGTGCGGGATGAGGAACTCGGCGCAGCCGAGCACCGAGTTCGCAAAGCAGGCGGCCGACAGCCACTTCTTCGGGTTCGCCTGAGCGGCAGGTGTGCAGAAACTCTCCGAGGAGGAGGAGAGGCTCTCGCGCGGAGATCCACGAGGTGCGGCGAAGCCTCGAGGGAGTGGATGCGGCTCGCGAGTGTGCCCGCCACGAGCGGCGGCAGCAGGTCCTTCATCAGCCAGCTCGCCGCCGACATCTCGGCGAAGAATCCTGAGAGCAGCGCGTTGGTCGAGACCATCACCGTGAACGAGTGCGCAAAGAGGCCCGCGGCAAGCCAGCCGGTGTAGCCGCCGTAGCCGGGCGCGGCCGACTCGGGATATCCGCGTGGCAGCACCATGTGCTTCGCCTCTTGCGCGCTGGAAGACAGCCACTGCACAAAGCTGCCGTGAGGGTTCGAGGCGAGCACGGGCGCACCCGACGGCCCGAGCAACCACTCAGCTCCGCCCTGCTTGAGCAGAGACTGCGGCTCCTTCTCGGGCTGGCGTGGCGGTCGGGCGACGGTGCTGCTGCGGCAGCGCCGCCGGGCGAAACGCCCGACGCAGAGGCTGCGAGTCGTGAGGCGCGAGCTCATCGTTTCGGCCCCGCGCCCCCCCCCCCCCCCCGATGTGTCCAGGCCGAAGTCCCCGGGGACCCGGAAGATTTTTATAATCCTCTACTATTATACTACGCCGCGCCACCGCCCACCCAGGGTACCATCACCGAGGACCCATTTGGTCTTCGAGGACTCGCCGGGGCTCTGCTACAAGAGACCTCGAGAGAGCGTGCGTGTGCCTCTACTCGCCAGGGCCGTTGTTTTTGTTTTTTGCAGGTCCGAGGCCCCGCAAGCGCTTCACGGTATACTCGATCGATCGACAAACAACTCGAGAACTCGAGTACCGGTATTTTTATAAGAGAGAGACACGAACCTCGCACATGACGACAGTGAGGGTGTGAGAGACAGACCCAGGGAAGGAAGAAGACCACCAGCAAGGGGCTTCACGGTAGGGTGATAAGTAAGAGACAAGAACCTCGCATACTTACGACGACAGTGAGTGCGAGTGAGGGGTGTGTGCGAGAGACAGACAGACCCAGCCAGGGAAGCAAGAAGACCAACCACCAGCAAGGGGCTTCACGGTAGGGTGATAAGAGACAAGAACCTCGCATACGACGACCCAGTGAGGGTGTGTGTGAGAGACAGACCCAGCCAGGAAAGGAAGAAGACCAACCACCAGCAAGGGGCTTTTCACGGTAAGGGAGATAAGAGACAAGAACCTCGCATACGATGACAGTGAGGGTGTGAGAGGCAGACCCAGGGAAGGTCTTCATTCACGTAGAGACGTCTCACTCAGTCTCACGTGAATTGGTCCTTGTCTCACTCTCAGCGGTCTCTCCGTCGTGTCCCGATAGATCATTACTGCCGGCTCTGTTTTCAGTCTCACTGCCGTCTCATGTCATACTGCCTTCTCATCCGTCTCAGCGTGGCAGGCTTCCGAGAGATTGCCCGAGATTGCCCGAGATTCGTGCCCGAGATTGCCCGATAGTGCCCGAGTGCCCCTAGAGTGCCCAGCGCGCCGGCCTGCTCTGGGACGGCGCGCCACCGCTCGTCGTCCAGCATGTGCCCCCGAGCGACCGCCGATCCGGGTAGCCGTCGTACTCGACCTCGACGTGCACGATCCGTCCGTCCCCGTGCTCCTCCCGCGCCATGACGGTCGCAGAGTACCACCGCTCGCTGTCGCAGAAGATCTCGAGGCGCGATCCGGTGGGCAGGACAGTGTGGCCGTCGAGTGCCGCCCTGGCATCGCGCTTTCGCTTCCGCCGCTTCGCCTTCGTCTCCTTGCTGCGCAGCAGGGTGTAGTTCGGGCCCACCTCCGCCACGCTGTCCAGCAGCTGGGCGGCACTCGCCATCTCGCCCGCGTCGTCCTCCGGCGGAAGCTCCGCGTCGCCCGCGGCCGCTTCCCGAGCGCGCTCGTCGCGCATCCGCTCGTGGTGGGCCTGCCCACGCGCCACGCCGGCGCCCGTGTGCCTCGCCGCCGCGTCCGGCGACGGCACATCGATGCTGTCCGCCCGAGCGTGACTCGCAACTCCACGATTTTGCCGTCCAGAGGTCAAAGCGGCTCAAACCCCCGCATGGTACGGGACCCCTCGATCGTCTCGCCCTCCCTCGCTGGTGTGCTCACCGCGGGGGGGGGGGGGGGGGGTCATAACAAACACGGTACAGGAACTGGTTGGGTAGTAGGCTAAGTTCTGAGCCTCGAGGCTTAACAGGTCTAAGTGTGACCGGTCACGCTGGGGTGCTTACGCGGTCTAAGATCGGCTCGAGCCTCTTATGCGGGCTAGATCATTAGGGTTGCCTCAATTTTTCTTCGCCTCTGCGGGCGACGGCGACGCGGCCGTGCGGCGGGCAGCCGTTGTGTACAGGATCGAGCCTTTCGAGGTGCACGCTGCTGAGGGATCCCAGAGCCGGTAGTGGGGTAGAGACACATACCATGACATACATAATTTTCATAAAACTAAACTATTTACATCCATATCGTGAACCTTCGGCTTCGCGGGGGAGATACTATTACTAAACCCGCGAGCCGCGTGCGGCCGACCTCTTCACAGCCCACAGAGCTCGCAACTCACAACTACTACTCTACCCTGGCTAGCTTTCTCTCGCAGACCACATACCCGTATGCACATTCTGCCTCCGAGATGGTGCGAAGCGACACGTAGGGGACAATAAAAGGCGATGATCTTGCGGAATTCCCTCCCCTCGCGGGGGAAATAGGAGACGGCTGCGCACGCGCCATGCATTCTCTGCTCGCCGCCGCTCACACGCTGACCGACGCCTCAAAGTACCTCGGGTTGAAGGACCACAGGCCGTGATTCCAGGGGGCGGGGCGGCGGTCCGCCTGCGCCACAAACTCGTCGCACCGGCGCACCAGCGAGAGCGTGCCTTCCTCGAAGCGCCGGCACGCCTCCTCGAGCCGCGGCATCGCTTCGTCGCTCGGGGCGCGCAAGAAGCTGGCGAGCGAGAAGGCGTCGAGGCCGGGCTTCCGATTGAGCAGCGGGGGCATGGGGAAGGAGGTGGCTGCCATGAGAGTCGCCTAGCGCGCGGGGTGGTGGGGGTGGTGGTGGTGGGTGGGTGGGGGGGGGGGGGGGGGGGGGCTGCGACCGGGGCGCAGCAAGAAGTGGGCCCGGGGGCGTGGGGGCGTGTCGAGGCGTGTCGCGGGCCGCCTGCGTGACGGCGGTGATCTTTGTGCCGCACCGCTCGCCGACCGGCCACGCAAAGGAGCAGAAGCGCACATCCTGCGCGTAGACGGCGACGCCGCCGTAGTGCTCGTGGTGCGCGGTGACCTCGAACACACACCGCGTGACAGCGTCGATGGCGAAGGCGCGCAACTCCGCCTGCCCGAACCCGCGCAGCGCGGGCAGCAGCGGCGCGGTGTGCACGAGCTCGCCGACGAGCGCCTCGAGCCAGCAGCGCAGCTCGGCGTCGGCTGCCGCCTCCTCGGGCGTGGGGAACCAGAGGTCGAAGTAGTCGGCGACCATCCGGTGCATCACGCGCCAGTACGCCTCGGCCTGCTCGTAGTACGGCAGCCGCAGCCCCAGCTCGCCCTCCCGCCGCGCGCAGTACTCTGGCACGTCGAAGAGGAGGCGCAGCAGCTCGGCGTCGCCCAGCTCGCCTGCCGAGGGCGAAGGGCGAGGTCGGGCGAGACTCCGGCGCTGCTGCGCGCGGCGGCGGCGGGTTCGCGATCTCTCCGCCCCTCGGCCAACACATCCCGGCTACACCCCCCGCCTCGCAGCTCTGCGCCGTCCACCATCACCTCGGGCACCGCCTGCCACGCGGCGCGCAACCCCTCGTCCGAGAAGGCAAAATTGCGCGCGCCGAGCGAGCCCTGCGCGATCAGCAAGTGGCGCGCGATGTGGTTCACCTACTCTCGATCAGCGCGGTGGCTTCGGCGCCCCTCCTCCGTCAGTGCGCGGCGCCCTCGCCGCTGGCGGACTTGGATGGTGCCAAAATAGTAGGGCGTCAGGAAGCGGCGGACCGGGTGGTCTGCGCCGAGCTGCTCGCGGCACGCCACCACCATCCCGTTCGCCCACTGCAAATGGACGCCGTACAAGTGGTCCACGATCGTCACCTACTTCACAGCGGGAGGTGTGAAGAGACCCGCGGGCGATCCGTGCAGTGTGCTCCAAACGGTCGTCGCCAGAGTGAAGAGCGAGCAGCGGAAGCAGAACTTTACGTACTCCCACCCCTCGCAGCCAGGGAGGTACTCCACCTCGACAAGGCCGCCGCGGCCGCCCTCACTCTTCTCGAGCCGCACGATCCGAACCGGCCGGAACTGCTCGTCGAGGTGCACGTCACCGCCGTACCGCTCGAAGCCCTCGGCGACGTCGAAGCTGGCCAGCGCGTTCGTCTTGACGACGTAGCCGCGTTCGGTCCGCTCGAGGCGGTGCGGGCCGAGGCCGTGCAGACACATCCGCGTGAGGGCCTCGTCCGAGGTGCGGTCCGCCTGGTCACACCTCCGCCAGTGAGGTGGCAGCCGCTCACACAGCGCGTCGTCCGCCTCCGAGGGCAGAGGCGAGGACCCACTCGTCGGGAAAGGTCGGGTACGAGTCGCCGAGCACCGCCATCGCAAAGTCGACCGCGCTCTCGCCCTCGCCGAATCGAATCGCGTCGCCGTACCTGCGCAGGTAGCCTCCCGGCGCGAGCGAGGTGTCTGGCATCTGGCGCATCAGAGAAAGCGTCGCCTCGACCATCGCCGTGCCGAGGCCCTTCCACACGCCGAGCCGCAGCGCGCGCAGGTTGACGTACTCGGCGTCGGACAGCAGCGGCAGCGCGACGACCCGGCCGCGCGAGGCTGGGATGGAGTAGTCCACGTTGCACTTGTCGAGCACGCGGCGGGGCTGCAGCTGGTACCTCTCGCCCAGCAGCACGCTCACGCTCGTGCGGCTCGAGTTCATCGCCTCGAAGCGCGGCTGCGGCCAGAGCGAGCGCTCAAAGTTGAAGTACTTGATGGCAAGGACCGGGATCTTCTCGGCCCAGTCGTGCAGCGGCATGAAGTGGGAGATGTACAGGTACGCAAAGCAGAGAGCGGGCAACGCGAAGAGGCCGGCCGCCGCCAGCAGCGGTATGGCGACGAGGTAGAGGACGAAGCCGCCCAGCGCGCTCAGCGGCAGGGCCCAGCAGATGAAGGCCCACTCGCAGAAGAAGCGCGAGGGCGGCGCAGCAGCGCTCGAGCTCCCACCGCTCGCTTGCGAGGCGGACTTTGCCCTGCTCTGCTCGCTGCGCCGCTTTTCGGCTGCGATGTACTCTGCGCGTGGACGTGGGACGGTCGGGATCTTTACGACCACAGCGCCGTCTTTGGATGAGGCGGCCATTGGACCGCTGCTCCCTTGGCCACAGCCGATTGCGAAAAGAATTCTTGCGACAGCCTCTCTCACATTGCGAAAAGAATCAAAATCCCGCCCTGGCCCGCTGAGAAGGTCGGTCCATTCTCGCGAGGCGGGTTGGGCGTCCGGATTGTCTGTTGCGACCCTGCTGACGGCCCGCCATTGACATTGGTGGTGGGTGGGTGTGAGGTGGGGTGTGGGTGGGGGCGGTGGGGGTCGGAGGGCTTTTTTTTCGCAGCTCGCGGCGAATTCCTAGGCGAAGTCGCGCCGATGCTTCGCCATAAAAAGAAAACGCGCCTTCGGGCCCTCCCTTCAGCTGGCTGGAATTTCCTTAGTCGCCGGCCGCGGCACACCTTGCTTGGTCTGTATGGCCCTTCCGATCCTCGCCGCTGCCGCGGCGCTCCCTGCTGGTTACGCATGCAACTGCGGCTGGACCGCAACCTACGCCTGCCCGTCTGCCGACATGCCGGGCACGTCGGGCCGATATGCGTGGGACGACGGCTCCCAGTGCTACACGTACTGCTGCCTCACGCCGTCTCCCAGCCCACCGCCGCCGCCGGCACCGTCGAGGCCTCCCTTCCCGCCTTGGCTCCCGTACCAGTGCAGCTGCGATTGGACCGCGGAGCACGCGTGCCCCGGCTGGGACAGCCCAGGGTCGAGCTGGCTCAAGCCGTGGGCGGACGACGACGGCACAAAGTGCTTCGAGTACTGCTGCTCGACGATGCCGGCGCCTCCACCATCGCCGCCTCCGCCTCCGCCGCCGCCGCCGGCACCACCGTACGAATGCTGGTGCGGGTGGACCGACTGGTGGGCGTGCCCCGGCGCACCCAACGGCGGCAACTTTGGGTGGTACGCAACCGACGACGGCTCGGCCTGCCATGACTACTGCTGCGGGGCGTCGTCGCCTCCGTCGCCGCCGCCACTGCCGCCCTCGCCGCCATCGGAGCCGAGTCCGCCGCCCGCTCCGCCCTCTTTACCCTCGCCGCCCGCCCCCCCGTGCGTCGACGACGACGACTACGTGGGCGAGGTGCTCGGCGACGCGAGCAAGACGTGCGCCGACGTCAAGTCCCTCTACTTCCAATCGCCGTTCGAGGCTGTCTTCCCCTCGACCACCTTTGAGCTCTGCCCGGCGGCGTGCGACAAACGGCCCGACGTGTGCTGCAGCACCTGCGGCTGCGACCTCTCCTTGCCGCGGCCGCCGCCGCCGCCCCCCGGCTTCTACTGCTCCTCCGGTCAGCCGGGCCCGGCCGAGGACCGGCAGCTGCAGGAGCTGCTTGGGACGGACGACATCGAGTGCAGCGACCTGGAGCTGGCCAGCGGAGTCACCCTCGAGATCGACGTCTGCGGCCTCGTCTGCGACTTTGTGCCCGAGATGTGCTGCAACGCCTGCCTATGCCCCTCGCTCGCCTCTCCGCCGCTGCCGCCCCCGCCGCCCACCTCGCCGCTGCCACCTCCGCCGCCGCCCGCGGCCCCGGACGATGCGCCGCGGCCTCCTCCAGCGCCTCCAGCGCCGCCGGCCCCGCCGGCTCCCCCTCCCGCGCCGCTCGAGTGCGTCGACCAGGAGGAGATCCTCAAGCGGCTGCTCGGCACCGACGAGGTGAGCTGCGGCTTCGCAAAGACCTTCAGCCTGTGCCCGAAGATCTGCGCCGAGGCGGTCGAGGCGTGCCCCGCGACCTGCGACTGCTGCGACGACCTGCGCGCCTCCCCGCGCCTGCCGCCGAGGCCCCCCTTCCCTCCTCCCGCGGCGACCTGCGTGGACCACCCCGAGCTGCTCGCCGAGTACGGCGCCGCCGCCGGCCTCGAGGACTGCGGGGCGGTCGCGGGCGAAGGAGTTTGCGGGACCATCTGCAGGCTCTTCCCGACGGTGCGCCTCGCCCGACGGCCCCGCCTCGTGCCCCTCCTCGGCCGTCGCGCCCGCCTAGTCGCACACACACCACCAACCCCCCGCCCCGCCCGCCCATCAGGCCTGCTGCAAGACGTGCTCGTGCGAGCTTCCCTGGCTGCAGCCCGGCCCTCCGCCGGCGCCGCCCGCCCTCCCTCCGTCGCCGTCGTGGCCCCCGGGCACGGTGGCCGCGCTGAGCCCACCCAGCGCCCCCTGCGAGGACGACGACGAGGCGCTCCGCGCCGAGCTTCGCGGGATGGTGCCGCCGCTGCCCGGGCTCGACTTGAGCGAGGACATCAACGGGCTGGACTGCGCGACGCTCCCGTTCGCGGATGAGCAGTGCAGTTTGTTCGCGTGCCCAAAGGGCCTCTGCTGTGCCTCGTGCGGCTGCAACGATGCTCCGCCCTCGCCGCCCGCGCTGCCTGGCGGCTGCCTCGGCGACAACGAGTTTCTGCTCGGGAAGATTGCGAAACAGCTGCAAAACGTCCAGCTGCCCGGCCAGCCTGCGGTCCCCCCCTTGCCGCCCGGGCCGCCGGTGACCTGCAGCTACATCAAGAGCACCGACAATTGCGCCGCGTTCTGCGAGTACGCCGACTTTGTCTGCTGCGAGACGTGTAACTGCACCCTCGCGGCGGACCGTGGTGGCGGTGACTTTGTCGGGGACAGCATCCTCGGGCAGGAGGCCGGAGACGAGGATGAGTTCCCGCTGTGGATCATCCTCCTCATCGTGGGCCTCGTCTTCCTCGTCCTGCTCTGCTGGGCCTTTGCCCTGATGGGCGGCTCGTCCGGCGTGACCCGCTGGCTGAGGACGCACTTTTGGTACGGCGCGGAGCCTCCTCCGCCGGAGCTCGCCTTTGCGCAGGGCACCGTCGAGGAGCGGCCCGAGGGGTTCAAGGCCGACGGAAACGCCGACGGAAACGCGACCCCCCGCATCCAAGACCTCCGAGCGTCCATCGCCTCCATCGGCCGCGCCTCGCGCGCCTCTGCGACGAGCGGGCGGCGTGTGAGCCTCGCCGAGCAGCGCGTGAGCCTCGTCGAGCCATGAGCGCGTCCAGTAGGAGCCAGCTTCGGGCGAACGGCCACCTCGGTGGATTGCCCCGCCGGCCGCGCAGAGAGTTTATAGGCCCCACCGTGCCGGTTCCGGTGCGCAGAGTACGCGCTGCTTGCCTCCAGCGGAGACACCATTCACGGAGCCCGCGTGCAGAGCGGGCTCCCAATGGCTCCATGTGCATCATTGGGCGTGGCATGAAGGGTTGTCGTCATCCCCAGTACCGCGGCAGCCAGCGAGAGAGACGGCCCACGCCCCACGCGCGGCGTGTCGGAGACGCCGCGAGAGCGAGAGAGATGCAGATGGCTACGTATTGGGCGAGAGGCAGTGAGAGCTGCGAGAGGATGTGAACGTGTACAATACTGTTCCGCGCGGCAATTCGAGTGTCCTTATTTTGAACAGCTCGTACGTAAATGCTGATAGCTCGTCACTCACAAGTCGCAAAAACATGCGCACAGCACACACACACACAGTGGAAGCTGGAACACACGCGTGTGATCGCTGTGCTGTCTCTTCGATGCCCATCGCTGCTCTTCTCCTGCCCCCCCGTCCCGCTCTCCTCCTTCCCCTTCACCTCGCCTCCTTCGAGCCAAACCGAAAGACGATGGCGAGGTGCCTGCCCGACGCCTGCAGCCGCCGCCGCGCGACCGCCGTCCTCTCACCCTGCCGGCCGGCGGCGCGGGGCTGCAACAACAGCAGGGAGCGGTGCGAGAGCGCGAGGGGCGCAAACTCCGGCGACGGCGATACGAGCGAAGCGACCTCTCCCAGCGATAGGATCGCCACCGTCTCAGAGGTGCCGCCGAGCCGCAGCGCCGCCGCCTGCTGCCCCGCCTCGCAGGCGTGCACCTCAAAGGAGTCGGGCGGCGGCAAGTTGCAGGAGGCGCAGACGCGGCGCGCCACGTCGGAAGCCCACGCTGGAAGCGGCGCCGACGGAGACGGCCGCAGGAGCCGCTGTGTCGGCAGCACCTCCCAGCCCGCCTCCCTCACCACTTCGTGTTGCAGGAGCGGCGCCGCGTCTTCTGGAAGCCAGCCGACGGCGACAGCGCTCCCCGCAGGCTCGCCGCACGCGCTCGGGAGAGGCTCGAAGCCTGGCTCGTCGTTGAGCACTCGCGACGCCTCTGCCAGCGCCGCCTCGGTCTCGCACGCCTCTCCAAGCCGCCGACGCGCCGCCTGGAGAGCCGCGTCAAACTCGAGGGGCGTGATGTCGGCAACCTCGGGCGGCTCTGCAGCGGGGCAGGGAACTCGTGGCGACTCGGCGTGGCGTGAGCCGGTGACAAGAGGAAGCAGCAAGAGCCAAGACGGGGAGCGCGCCATTGGGGAGCCAAGGAAAAAACCGGCCGCGCTATTCTCGGGTTCAGTATGTTGGCAGCGCCAACATACTGAAACAAGCCCAGTCTACCTACCTTCCTGGGAGCTCCAACGGGTGATGAAAGCCCCCATTCGCTAAACACACACACACACACACACAAAATGAAAACTGGCGGGTCCAGCCCGAACCCAGTGGTCACTCTCACCCAAAAGGGTCGACTCTGAAAAGAAGAAAGTGCGGGTCGGCGCACGCTCGGAAGAGCCAATGAATATTCTCGTTGCGCCGCCGACCTGTGTGCTCGGTGAAGCTCTCGGAGACCTTGTTCAGAGCATCGACATCGAGACGCGTCCAGCTCGTGCGTCTATACTCGAGACGCGTCCTAGCTCGTGCGTCTATACTCGAGACGCGTCCAGCTCGTGCGTCTGTCAATGGGCCTCGAGGCCTGCCAGTCCGCTGTCTTCAGGGCCTGCCAGTTCTACCACTCGGCAGCGGGACGGCTCGTCGCCAAGCGGCCAGCGGCGTCTCTCGTGGCTTCTCTCGTCGTCACCCTGTTCCTCACAGCGTGCATGCTGCTTGGCTCCTGGGAGGCACGGCTCGAGTACCGCGACACGCTTAGTCGGAGTGAAGCGTTCAAGCTGTTTGATGCGACCCTCGACATGTTTGGCGGGTCGCCGCGAACCAACGAGTACAAAATGAGCTCCTCCGACGGATCGAACGTCCTCACCAAGCAGGCCATCCTGAAGGCACTGGAGGTTGACGAAGCGGTTCTCGGCCTGACCTACAAGGGCACCCGTTTCGAGGATGTATGCCTTCGCCCATACCTCGGCGGCGCATGCACAGTCGACTCGGCCATGTACCGTCTCGGTCTGGGCCGCGAAGAGGTCGAAGCGCTCAGCCAAGAAGAGCTGGACAGCAAGTTGCTGGCGGAGTACAACTCGAACGCGGGCGGGCTCGGCTCCCTCCTCGGCGGGCTGACCCTCACCGACGGCAAGCTCTCAGCCACCTCCCTCCGCTTCCGCTACCTTGGAGAGCCGAGCGGCCAGGGGCGCCCGTCCTTCGTTGAATTCGTGACGGGGACGTCGAACGACGCGCTAGCCAGCGCTACCCTCGAGTGGGAGTCGGCCTTCCTCGCGCTGGTGTGCGCCAGGCCTCTGATGTCGAGCGGGACTCGCTGTCGCTGGGCGAGGGGCTGTCCGTCACCGGGACGGCGCAACGCTTCATCCAGGACGAGATCGCCGCGAATGCCACGACGTCGACCAAGTGGATGGTGGTCTCCATCAACCTGATTCTGGTGCTGATGTGGCTCGCCCTCGGCGGCCGGCCGCTGCGCAACTCGCGCCTGACGCTGGGAACGGGCGCGGTGGCGGTCATCCTCCTCTCCGTCGGCGCAGGGCTCGGCTTCTCTTCGCTCGTCGGCGTCCCGCTCACCGAAATCTCGCTGCTCATGGTGTTTGTCATCGTCGGCGTCGGCGTCGACGACGTCATTGTCGTCGTCGACTTCCTTCAGCGGCAGCCGCCGCACCTGAGCATCGTCGAGCGCATCAGCGGGGCGCTCGGCGGCGCGGGGCCAGCCATTCAGCTGACTTCGCTAACCAATCTCATCGCTTTCCTCATCGCGGCCACGGTGGACTTCCCAGGCGTCTCCTACTTCTGCCTTTCCGCCGGCTTCACCCTCTTTGCCCTCTTCCTGCTCACCACTACCCTCTTCACCGCGCTCCTCACCTTTGATGAGCGCCGCCGCGGGGCCATGCGCCTTGACTGCCTCTGCTGCATCGGGTTTGGCGCTGGCGACAGCGAGACGGGCGACGCAGAACCGTCGTCTCCTTCCCACAAGGAGGATGACAAGCGGGCGCACAGCGGACTCCGCGCCGCCGTTTCGTCGGCGGCGCGGGCGTATGATTGCTTCGTCGCGTCGAAGCCGGTCGCACTCGTCGTGATCCTCGCCTTCACTTCGCTTATACCGCTCGGCTTTGGGTTTGCGATCGGGAACATCCCGCTCGGCGCTGAGCTTGCATCCTACTTCCCCGACGGGAGCCCGTACGTGGCATACACCGCGGACACGCAGGAGAACTTTGTCGCCCTCGACACGCCCGGTTACCTCGTCCTCCAGGACGTCAAGTGGGAGGACGCCAGCGCGCAGACAGCGGTCGACAGCCTCCTCGCGGCGCTGGAGTCGGACGACTTTGTCATCGCGCCGTACAGCACCAACAACTGGCTCGCCGCATACCGCGCGGTTGCCGCCGACAGAGGGGCGACGGCCTCCGCCGCCCCGCCGCTCCGCCAGAGCGGGGACGGCTTCCTTGCCGACGTGGCCGCCTTCCTCAAGGAGACGGACCCACAGTGCGTGGATCGCCAGCTGGGAGGGGAGTGCTTGCGCGAGATCATCCCCGCGAGGTACTCCAAGGAGGTGGTCTGGGCTGGCGAGGCCGGGGCGTCGCCGATTACCGCGACGCGCTTCTCGTGCACACTGGCGGTGCCCGACGAGGTCAAGGGCCGCGTCGAGCTCATGAACGAGCACAGGGCGACTGCAGACGCCAACCGCGGCTCCATCGACGCGGTCGTATGGTCGTACTTTATGCTCTTCTCGGACCGCGACCGGGTGAGGTCCACAGTGGCGTCGAGAGAATAGGGAGGAGAAATGACAACCCGCTTGCCCCCCCTCTGCGCCTCAGATCGTGGTGCGGCTCGTCCTCGAGACCCTCGCCTTTGCAGCAGCGGCTGTGCTTGGCACCCTCGTCTTCTTCCTTCACCCCCTTTCCGTCGCGGTCATTGCCCTCGCCATCGCAAGCATCGACGGCGGTATCTTTCTGCTCATGTACCTCTGGGCGGTGCCCCTGGACGCGGTAGCGTTCATCTGCCTCGCCATGTCCATCGGCCTGTCGGTCGATTACGTGGTGCACGTGGCGCACGCCTTTGAGCACGAGGAGGGGACGCCGGAGCAGCGCATCAAGGCCGCGCTCCATGGAGCGACTCACGCGTGTGCGAAGGGAGCACCCTCCAGGACCCGAATCACCCACCCACGCTGTGCGCTATAGGCATCGGCTGGTCGGTGCTCAAGGGCGGTGGGTCCACCTTCCTTGGCGTGGTCGCCCTCGCGGGTGCGGATTCCGAAATCTTCCGCACGTTCTTCAAGATGCTCTTCTCGACGGTGCGCGCCCCATTCGATTCAAGTCGGGCTCCGACCCTCGCATACCCTTACGAACCCCCTTACTGTCGATGAGAGTAGGTCCTCCTCGGTCTGCTGGCTGGCCTCGTCCTCTTCCCCGCCTGCGTGATCTTCGTCGGGAAGTGGATCACGCCAAAGTTGCTGGAGAAGACACCGGCCGGTGTGGCGCAAGCGGACGCCGTCGCGAAGCCGGCGGCGGCGGCAGAGCCGCCCGCCCTTCAAGCCCAACTTGAACGGTACTAGCCGAGCGCGGAGAGCGCCGGAGAGAAGAGTAGAGATGTCAGATGACCGGCGGCGCGGCGGAAGGGCGGATCGTGTACGTTGCGGCTGTGTGTGCGCGGTGGTCGGGGGGTCCACTATACGGTTGATAGCAGTGTATCTTCATTGTAGCATGTACGAATCCAACACGGTCTCGTCGCGGGGGGGGGGGGGGGGGTAACCGGGGGGGGGGGGGTTGGGGGGGTCCCCGGTCCCCCCCCGGGTTTAACACCCCACCGTCAAAAAGGGGCCCAGAGGATGGGTAACCCTTTGGCCCCCGCGAGCCTCCAGACTCGACACTGGACCTCGACACCACGACATCAGGGCTCAGGGGCCGAGGTCACGGTCCCGCTTCGTTTCCCCCTACCGCGCTTCCCACCCTCACCCCACAAGTGTTCTCATTACTTTTTCTTGCCCTTCCCACCCTTACCCGCCTTTCGCTTCTCAAGCAGGCGCCTCTCCGTCTTGCCTCGGAAGACTGCCTGAATCCTCGCCGCTCCATCGTGCAGCGCCCGCTCCTGCGCCTGCTGCCGCGCGAGCTCCTCCGCCACCCTCCTCTCCGCCTCCAGCTCCGCCTCCCTCTCAGCCGCGAGTCGCGCAAAATGTGCCTCGAGTTCGGCGAGCTGCGCCGTCTCCTCGGCATAGATCGCCTTGAGCGCCTTGAGCTCCTCGTACCGCTCGCCCACCTCAGCGTCGTACTTTGCGATCCACTGCTCCACCTCGCCCTCGCACCTCGCCTTCTTCTTGCGCAGCGCCTCCTCCGACTCACGGTGCTCCTTCCGCCTCGACCCCAGCTCCCCCTTGAGCCCAGCGAGCTCCGCTCGCAGAGCTGCCTCGCGCTCCGCGCCCGTGGCGTGGTCCGCCTGCTCCTGCGCCTTGCCCTCCGCCTCGATCGCCTTCACCTCGTCCGCCGCTGTGTTGGTGATGGTGTCGAGCGTGGCGCGCAGCTTGCGCAACACCGCGTCCCGCGAGGAGACGTCAGCCTCGCGGCTGGCCCGCTCGGCGCGCAACTCCTTCTGTAGCTGCTTAACCTGCTGACCTGCCTTCTCGTCGCGCGCCTTCACCTCCTCGAACGTCTCCCTCCCCTCCTTATCCTCCTCCACCGTCGTGGAGAGCCGCGCACCCGCCTGCTCCTGCAGCGCGTGCAGGGCCGAGAGGAAGCGCGACATCGTCTCGCTCACGATAGCCTCGCCGCCCCCTGCCTCCGTGGCGCGGGCCGCCTGTAGCTGCGTCACGATTCCGGGCGCCTCGCGCAGCAAGCGACACACCACGCGGGTGGAATGCCTCAGCTCATCGTCCGCCGTCTCGAGATCCGGAAGGGTGCCGCCCAAGCAACCCTCTGGCGTCGCCGTCACGGCCACATACTGCCGCTCAAGCGCAACGTGCTCGTCGAGCAGCTGCGTCACGTCAACTCCAAGCGAGTCGCGCATTGATTCCTGCGTGCGGGAGGAGGGGGTGATCCCGGCTAGCGCAGCTGTCTGATGGCGTTCCAGTGCAAAAGAGGGAGACACGCGCCGAGTGGGGAAGACGACACTGCGGGACGCGAGATAGGAGGTCCAACTTTGACAGCGCATCGCTCAGCACCGCCATCACGCGCTGCGCCTCGACGTTGGTGAGCCGTGGCGGGACGGCTGCCATGTTGCCCCGATGTAACGCCTTGAAATAAAAGAAAGGTGAAAACATTAGCAATCTTACGAAAGAAGTCCTCCCGTCCCTCCCTTGGGGTGTGTGTTTTCTTCTTTCTTTCTTTCTTTCTTTCTTTCTTTCTTTCGACAGAAGCACACAACACACAACACACAACAACACCACACACTCACACACATACACACACACACACACACACACACACACACACACACACACACACACACACACACACACACACACACACACACACACACACACACATACTCACACACACACGCACACACACACACACACACACACCCATCGAAAAAGAAAGAAAGAAGAACATCAAACGCGGGATGGGAGGAGGACAAGGTCCCCACCTGCACGAGCAGAAAGAAAGAAAGAAAACACACAACCCAAGGGAGGGATGGGAGAACGGCACGCCGCCGTACGCGTGATTTCTTTTTTGAGAAGCCCGTCGTAAGGGCCGCCGCTTTTGCGCTCTCATCGCAGTAGCCTGCCCGCGCGCGGTACTAGATGGCGTCCGTCGTCCCCATTCCGGCGGTAGCGCCGGAGGGTTCTTTCGATCCCGACGACCCGCTGGTAGCGCTTCCCTACATTGGCAAAACTTTCCGGACCGTGCTCGACCTCACCAAGGGCAGCGTGCGGACCAATCTGAGTCAACTCCTCGTGCAGCAGCTTACGACGAACGTTCGCCTCCTGCCGACGGATCCCACGGACAAGGCCTTCAACGCGCTCGTCAAGTTCGTCATGAAGTACGATAAGCTCGAGAAGCACGCGCGGGAGATTGTCAAGAAGGGCAAGGTCGTCAAGCACAACCTGAGCAAGCAGGCGGCGGAGGCGCTCAAGAAGAAGCTGGAGGCCCTGGGCGGCAAGGCGGAGATCGGCGGTGGCATCGCTATCGATAGGAAGGGCCCAATCAACACAGGGTACGTGCTCAAGGTCAAGGGCAGTGACGTGGTGGAGCCGGACGACTTCATTGAGAAGCTCTCGTTCCAGATGAAAAACGTGATGGGCAACTCCGCGATCAACCGCGAGGACATTCTCGATCCAGAGAAGTGGATCACCTCCGCGGCGGGTGACGGCCCTGCCACGCTGCCCAGCTTTGTGCTCGAGGCCACCCTCGGTGTGAGGATCACTCTCAAAAGCGGCGTCAAGCTGGTGCTCGACAGCCCCAACTTTCTCTTCCCGGACCTGACAGCGAAGTGGAACGAGACGCCAATCGAGGTCTCCAACATGCGCGCGAGGTTTGCCATCGACTTCACGAAGGTTGACAGCTCTAACCTGGCCAACAGCGAGTTTGAGATGACGTTCGACATCCTCGAGGAGCCCCACCCTCCGACTGTCGCCTGGGCTCTCTCCCTGAGCGCCTTCTTCATCAATCTGCCGGTCCCGTCCTTCCTCACCAACGAGCTGCCGCAGGAACTCGTCGCCAACTTGCTCACCGAGGTGACTCCTGTGTCGGCAACCTTCACGGAGGGGCGCTTCCATTGGACCGACAAGCCAAAGGTCAAGCCCGTCCCGATCTGCTGCAACCTGCTCCCGATCTGCTGCAACCGACTCCCGTGCCTCTGCTTCGACTTGACCACCATGTGCGCCGGCTGCTGCATCGGCTGGCGCCTCGACTTTTGGCGGCAGTGCTTCGAAGGGGAGGCGCCGTGCTGCGGCGCTTGCCGCGCTGGCCTCTGCTGCTGCGACGGCGGCATCCTTGCCTGCTGCTGCAAGCCGAGCAAGGGCGACGAGAAGGAGAGCGGGACCGTCACCGTTACCTCCAAGGCGTCGGACCCGGTTTGAGCGACTTTGCGGGCCGTGCATCGCCCGGCTTCCGGCGTCGTCCGTGCGCCGCCGCGACTTCGAGGTCACGGAAGAGATTACCAGTAGATCTCCCTGACTGCACGCGCTCAAAAGAGCGCCCTGCTGAGAACACCGCCGACCCCCCCGCGGGCCGCGGGAGTGTGAGCCGTGGCATGGGAGCAGGCGCAGAGATACGAGATACACATGTTGCATGCACAGTCGCTGCGAGAGAGAGTCTCACGGCAATGCTCACACAGTGTGTCCTCCGTTCGGATAGTGTCCCGTCTTTTATTTATGGACATGGATTATGGTTATGCTTATGCGATGGGCTTATGCTGCTTCCACGTTCCAGCACCGCGCCCCCCCGGGCGCGCTCTCCGCTCCGTCTCTCTGGCTGCATGGCTCTCTCCCGCATCGATCCGGTCCCGCAGCGCTCTCCGGGTGGACCGGGGCGCGCGGGCGGGAGCTCTCGCCCCGCGCTCCCGCGCGTCCAGGCACCAGGGTGCACCGAGAAAATATACGTCTCCTGCAATTATGATTTATGTTCTAAACTCGCATCATCCCCGACCGAAGTGTAGCACAGACCAAACCCCTCTCTGCTCCGCTCCTCACACGCCACCACAGCTATGAAGACTCTGTGCGCCCCTCTTCCATCGCTGGGCACCCGGCGCGGCAACCGATCCCCGCGCAGGTTCCGCCATAGGATCGAAACGAGCGGCCCGACGCCGCAAGCCTCATTCGCGACGTCCCTCACAGCTCCTCCTTCGCCTCACCCTCCGCGCTCTCGCCGGCCGCCGGCTCGCTCTCGCCTGCCGCGGCATCACCCTCGCCCTCGCCCGCGCCGGCCGCGCCGGCGGCGTCTGAGTCTGCGGCGGTGCTGTTGGCGGCGGTGCCGTTGGCGGCGGTCGCGTTGGCCGCCTTTTTCACCTTCGGCGGCTTCGGCTTCGGCTTCTTGATCAGCCTCCGCACCTCGCGCTCGATCGGCTCGAGCTTGGCGGACACGTCGCTCGAGAGGAAGGCGGGCGGCTCGTGCGGCTGCAGCGCGGCCTGCTTCTCCTCCTGCTCGGCGAGCCAGGTCGTGAAGTTGGCGCACATGCCCGCCACCTTCTCGCGCTCCGCCTCGGTCACCTCGGGCCGCTCCGTCGCCCAGGTCTGCAGGATGTTGGTGGTCCAATTGACCGCCTCGTGCGCCTGACCGAGCGCACACACGCGGCACGCGGTCGTGGGAGGGGGCGGGAGGCGGCGCGCCCCGCGGGGCTGAAGGCGTCCCGTGCGCGCCTGCGTCACGACTTTGGGCCTCGCCTCGAGCTCCGTGGCGCGCAGTGCGATCGGCGAGACCATCTTCTGCAGGTCCTTGAGCTTCTCCTTGTACTCCTTGGCCGCGAGGTCGCGCCCCTCCTCGTACAGCCAGTCCTCCGCCTTTTCGAACTCGGCCGAGATGGACGCGCGCTCGTCCTCGGTCGAGACGGCGCTGTACGCCTCGTCCGACGAGAGCTGGTCGCGCGTGTTGATGACGTACGACTCGACGTCGTTCTTGGCCGCCGCGTTGGCCTTCCGGATCCCCTCCGCCTTGAGCAGCTCGAGGTTGCGCGCGACGCAGTCGCCAACCTGCGAAGCGTTGAGCGGCAGCACCGGCGAGAGCGTCGCCTCCTCCGCCTTCAACGTCGCGTAGTGCACCCGCTTCCGCTCCTTCTCCACCTTCACCATCTTTGTGCGCGTCGCATTCTTCGCCGTCGCGTTCTTGCCGGCCGCGGTCCCGTTCACGTCCTCCTCCGGCTCATCCCCGGCCTCCAGCGTCTCATCCTCCTTGGCCTCCTCCTTGGCCTCCTCCTTCTCGCCCTCGCCCGCCGCCGCCTCGCCCGCCTCCGCCTTGGCGGCCGCCGCCGCCTCCGCCGCCGCCGCCGCCGCCGCCGTCTCGTTGGCGATCGCCTCGGCGACCTCCTCCTCAGTCAGCGGCACCTGCAGGACACACGGGAGGGGGGGAGGGGGGGGGGGGGTGTCGTCCCGTGGCGAGGGCCCGCTGGGTGGCGGGCGCGTGCGGCGCGGCGCCTCGTCGTAGTCGTCGTACCGCTCCTGCATCTCGAGCGCGACCTCCGACTTGGCGACGTGCAGCAGCCCGGACGGCGAGAGGCCAAACGTGACACTCACCTGAGAAGAGGGGGGGCGGAGGGTGGTGGAGGGCGGCGGAGGGCGGCGGAGGGCGGTGCGGGAGGTGGCATATGCTCTGGGTCCCTACTGGTACGGCATATGCTCCTCCCCCCGACTCGTCGAGAGGGAGGGGCTCGGGAGGGGCTCGGAAGATGTCGATCGCCGGGTGACTGGTAGGGATGGGAGAGCGCATCCAGCGTTTCGAGCGACCGGCAGAAGATCGCGGCCGTGAGGCGCGCGCGACTGGATTCATGTGCCGCGGGCGAAAGCAGCGCGCGCCCAATGGAGGAGGCTGGGGCTCGCCGACTCTAATGCCGCGGGGGAGGGGAGGGGCAGGGGCAGCCGGACGGGCAGGGGTTTCCCTCCCTCCCTGCCTAAACCTCTGAGGGCGGCGTGCGCCTTTGGCTTCCCGATCGGCGTCCGCTTCTCGTTGGTGAGCCGCTTGAGCGCGGCGCCGACGCCGGAGACGTTGAAGGAGGAGATGGGCGCGCCGGTGGCGCCGTACGAAAGCAGGATCTGCAGGTCCTCGGTGCGCGACATGGTGATGAGCTTCTTGTGCGGGAACTTTGTGTTCGCCTTGAAGAGCACCTTGTCCTTGCTCTTCTTCTTGCCATCGCCCTCCTCCTCGTCCCCCTTGTCCTCCTTGTCAGCCTCGGCCTCCTTGTCGCCGTCCACGCCCAGCTTGACGTTGATCGCGTGCGGAAAGGCGTCCACGATGTTGAAGTCGCGCAGCCGGAAGGAGGTGGAGAGCTTTGCGGCGTACAGCGTCGCGCCGAGCGCGCCCGCCTCGTCGGCGTTGATCGAGGCCTGTAGAGCCATGTCGCGGACGTGTCATGGACGCGCCTCTCGGGACGGCCGCCTCGTCGGCGCTGATGGAGGGCCGAGGTCGGCTTGCCAAAGAAGTCCTTGGCCGCCTCCTTGACGCGGGCGACGCGCGTCGCGCCGCCGATGAGCTCGATCTTGTGCACGTCCTCCTTGGTCATGTTTGCCTGGTCGAGGACGGACTGCAGCGCCGGCAGCAGGCGCGGGAAGAGGCCCTCGCAGCGCGCCTCCATGTCTGCGCGCGAGATGACGAGGCGGAGGTCGCGGTCGTCGTGGACCGCCTCGATGGCAACCTTGAACTCCTTGTTGGCGGAGAGGACCTCCTTGACTCGCTCGGCCTCCTTGCGCAGCTTGCCCATCGCGCGCGCCGACTTTGTGATAGGCGGCGAGACGGACGGGTACTGCTTGGTGAACTCCTGGGCGAGGATGTCGAGGACCGCCTGGCAAGTGGCCCAGGAGGTGGGGTGGAGGTGGGGGGGGGGGCGTGCTCTCCCGCCGTGATGACCCCCTCCTTGACGGAGGAGCCCGCCTCCTTCTCGGCGATCTGCTTGACGTACGAGAGGACGAAGGCGACCGCCTCCTCGGCGCGGTAGCTAATGTCCTGAGGGCGGCGAAGCCACCGGCGGGTCGGAGGGATGCTCTCGAGGAGCAGCCCTCGCGGGAGGGTGTGGTCGCGCCTCGGAGAACTGGATCATCGCCGCGCCGGTGACGGGGTCGGTCACGAACTCGTACGGGTAGCCGAGCTCGCCGAACGAGAGGATGTCGGGGTGCGACACGTTCTGCAGACAGGCCGGGCAGTGTGGCGGGCGGGCGGCGGGCAGCGTGGCTGCAGGTGCGGCGCGGTGTGGCGACGCGTCGCGACGGGCCAGCGGCGGAGCGGCGCCTTGCCCAGCATGATCTTTGAGTAGACAAACTGCTTCTGCGGCAGCTTGCCCAGCAGGTTGAAGGACTCGTCCGCGTACACACGCTCATCTGCCGAGTTGAAGCCGGCGGCAGTCGACGACTTGCGCTTGGAGGCCTGCGCGGCACCAGGGCGCGCCGGAGGTGAGCGGAGCGAGGACGAGGCCGCGGCCAGCTGTGCGGCCGCTCGCGTGCGGCGCGGTGGGCCAGAGTCCGAACGAGGATCCATCTCGTGGGGCCGCGTCTCGGCTCGGGCGTGGCGGCGTGGCGGCGCCTCGTTGAGCACAAGGTCGATGCCCTTGCCCGGCTGGATGATGCCGACCTTGACGAAGCGCGCGCCAAAGTCGATCCCAATCACCGCGGCGGCCGCCTGCGAGAGCAGCGCCGCGAGCGCGACGAGTCTGAGGCTCATATATGCGAAAGTCAACGTGTGCGTGGCCCTCAGAGACAAAGGGCATCTGGCTTCGAGAAATCCTTTCGGTGTGAACGCACCTCGACTGCGAAGAGAGATAGGAAGAGGCGGACTCCCTAGGGTGGGCGACGGCTAGCGCACCACACACCTCTCCTTAAAATCCCTGTGTGGTGGCGGCGTGCCGTCCTCCCATCCCTCCCTTGGGTTGTCTGTTTTCTTTCTTTCTTTAACCTCTCACAATGAAGGTTGCAGCGAGAATCGGAGAGAGACTGCGAAGAGAGATAGGAAGAGGCAGACTCCCTAGGGTGGGCGACGGCTAGCGCACCACACACCTCTCCTTAAAATCCCTGTGTGGTGGCGGCGTGCCGTCCTCCCATCCCTCCCTTGGGTTGTCTGTTTTCTTTCTTTCTTTAACCTCTCACAGGCCAGCGCACAGCGCCATACGAGGTATTTTCTTCTCAATAACAAGGCTGTGAACCTTATTGTCAGTTGACTTCCACGGCGCCTCAGTCAACGGTATGGCAGGTGGAGTGCTCTCTACTGCCGCGGCGCCCCTGTCGGTTCGGAGGCGCCCGGCGGCCGCGCGCTTGGTGCCGACGGCGACCGGCTGCTCTCGCGGCGCCGAGGCGTGCCGCTTCGTTCGGTCACTCGGCGACGCTCTACGCGGGTCTTCGAGCTCGCGACCCGCGACGAACCAGCATGGCTCGTCGCTCGACGGGAGCCTGCCCAGCATGCTCTCGGCACTCTGTACAGCCTCGACAAGGCATGGTATTGCTAAAAATCTCTCTCTCGACAAGGTGTCTGGGAAGGCCGACAGGGCCAGAGCGGGCCGTCTCGGTTAGGCTGTACGAGGTTTTCCTCTCGCACCCCGTCTGTTTTCCTAACCTTTTTTCTCTACAGCACCCTCTCCTCTCTATTTTCCCGGGAAAACTCCGTGGAAATCGTCAAATTTTGGGCTCTGAGCCGAGTCTGAGGCTGGTTTGGGCCCAAAATCAGCCAATTTTTAGGCCAAATCGGCAAAATGCCGGGAATTTTGCGGAGAACCCGTGTAGACCTGGAAATTACCCTGCGACCGCCTGGGTATTTTGTCGATTTCCTCAATTTTGCCTCAGATTTTGCCCCAGACCAGCTCTCAGACTCAGGAAAACTCGCGAGTTTCCAGAATGGGCCATTTTCGGTCATCCGTCAAAATATCTGAAGATCTGAATGGGGGATTCTCCCCAAACCTTGCTCAGCTGATCCAGCACGGGCCGTAGGCCAGCCCTGGGCAAAGAAACCAGTACCTCATCAGGCTTCCCTGAGCGTCACAGCTCGGTGATCGCGCCGGCCGGACACCACTGTAACGTCCGTTCCGGGCATTTGAACGCGACCTTCGGGGGCAAAGACATGGGCTCTATGGCTCAGACTGGACTCCTCTTGGTCCCTTCTGATGCCCTAGGCCATACCTGGGCCTTACCTGGGGTTCTAGGGGGCGGGCGGGGTTTGCCCCCCGAAAGCGAAACTGGCCCGGAGGACCTTAAATGGTAATTACAGCCCCCAAATCTCCTCATTTCTTAAAAGGTCTTAAAAAATCCGGCCTTCAGAACCCTAGCGCCTAGGGGTACCCTAAGCACAACCCCGCCCCTGGTCAACTCTCAGAGGGTCTCCACACCCCGTATGTGGTATGAGACCAGATTCTGCCATCGTAACTATTTGAGCATGATAACTGAATTATGACACGCCGGCGGTGGCCACTGACTCCATTCGCGCAAGCACACACAGTCACGCACATCGCAATTCGCATGTGGTGCACGCCCTTCAGCCTGCGCTCTTCCGTTGCCGGGTAGAGGAAAGTCTTTGCATGTAATAGTTTTGCTATACCCTCATGGGGCACAAGAAAGAGGCTGCACGGCCTAAGTACGGTCTGTGCTGCTGTCGGGCTGGTCGGGCTGTCGGGCTGTCAGCGCTGCTGTCAGGCCGCTGTGTGCTGTCGGGCTGTCGGGCAGCTGTCAGGCTGTCACGTTAGGGCCTGACAGCGACGGGACGCCTCTGATGTCAGGCTCTGCTGTCAGGCTGTCAGATACGTGCTGTCAGACTGTCGGAGAAAGTGCTGTCAGCGCTGTCAGGCTGTCGGGCACTGTCAGGCGCTGTCCGGGGTTTGCTGTCAGGCTGTCAGACCAGGGCTCAGCTGGAAGGGCTACGTCAATGAAAGGAATGCATACTTTGGATTTGGCGGTGGGCACAAGGATGACGACTGGATGGAAGTGGCATCTGGAATCGGGCAACGACAACCACATTCGCTACTACCACCCTGCCGAGCCCGGGTCGACGGTGATCCCAGAGGGGCCTTGGCTCCAACGGAGCGGCGGCGGCAACGGCGGCAGCCTTCCCAACCCAACCGTCAAGTGCATCGGCGCAGTGGACGTGGGTTGGACGCTCGTGTCAACCAACCCGACCGCGGCCTTTCAAACGACAGCAACCGACGAAATCGAGACGACTGACGGGGTGCTTGCATCGTCTCTTCGCCACCCTCCCACGAATCACGCCCCGTCCTTCAACCCCCGGTCCACACCCGCGCCACAGTCGCGCCCGCACACACACACACGCAGCGCTGCGGCGCCTTCCCACACCGGCGGCAGCGCGAGACAGGCTGCCGCCCCCCTCACCGCCTGCTCGCCTCCCTCTGCGCCTGCCGCGCCTCGATTGCGTACTGGCGGCTCATCGCCTGCTTGGCGTTGCGGCCGTGCTTGCCGCGCGAGCGGTGCGACGCGTCCTTGGCGCCGCTGTACATGACCCCCCAGTCGGCGTCCTCCTCCTCGCCGCCGCCGCCGCCGCCGCCGCCGCCGCCCAAAGCATTCCCGCCGCTGCCGCCGCCCGCGGCGCTGCCGTTCGCCGCTTCCGCACCGCCGCCGCCGCCGCTGCGCGCGGGGGTGGACGGTTGGGACCGCTCCGCTCGCTGCCTCCCTCGCGACGCCTCCCACCCGCTCTCCTCCTCGGGCACCGGCGCGGGCGGCGGGGCGCGGCTGCCGGCGTGCGAAGAGCCTGCCTGAGGCGCGCTGCGGTCGGCGGGCTTGTGCTGCTGCTGCTGCTGCTGCTGCTGCTGCTGCTGCTGCTGCTGCTGCTGCTGCTGCTGCTGCTGCTGCTGCTGCTGCTGCTGCTTGGTCTGCGAGCGCGTGCGCATCGCCACCATCCGTTGCAGCGAGTCATCCTCGTCCTCTTCGGACGACGCGGGCGCCTCGCCCTCCGCGCTGCTGCTCGAGGCGGCGCTCGCCGCGTGTGCCGCCCGCGCGGCGTCGTGGCCGGCGCCGAGCTTGGGCGTCTTGGACGCGCGCCCGCCTCCCATGCCCCTGCCCTGCGGCCGCTTGGGCGAAGAGCTACCGCTCCGCCGAGGCGTGGGCACGACCGCGGACGGCAGCGCGAGGTCCGAGGGCATGTCCGCGAGTTGCGAAGACATGAGCATGGGCGTGAGGCCCGTCGTCTCGGGAGGGCTCTCGTGGGACGTCGAGATGGCGAGGGGCACAGGGGCAGAGACCTTGGCAGCCATACTGCCTACTGCGCTGCGGCAGGCGATCGAGAGTTGAGTTGCCCCGGGTTTTTCTTTTTGCTTGGGGCGGCCCTCTAGTGTCCAGTCCGAGCCTGACTGTTCTTCACCTTCCTACATACATGCCCTCTTGATGGATGGTACAACTGTAGGGTAGGTCTGGGCCCTCGGGGTTCCCCCTATTTAATGCTGGAATTTTCAAAAAAAGAATTTACCGCGGAATCACGATGTCAACCCTCCCAAGTGAGGGAGATTTTTAGAAGCCAACCAGAAATGTGTCACACAGAGTGATTTGCGCTCGGCAGCTTGTCGACTACCAGCCGGAGCCGGAGTCGGAACCGTAGCCGAGATGGTCTTCGAGGGTGTCGAATATGTCATTCGCCTCGCTAGATTTCTCAGATTTTTAGAAGCCAACAAGAAATGTGTCACACAGAGTTCTTTCTTCCTTCTCGCTAGTGGAGCCGGTGCCGCATGAGTCGCGGTCGGAGGAGGAGTCGTCGGAGGAGCGGTCGGACCGCTCGCGCTTGTCGCGCCTGATGCGCTCTGCGAGGGGGCCGGGGTCGTGGTCGTCGTGCTCGAGCGTCGGGTAGGTAGCGCGCCTTGCGACCTTGTCGGCCGAGCTGCCATCCCAGTAGAAGGTATACCAGTCGCCGCGGGGGTAGAACCAAAGCGTTGACCAACCTGTACCGTCCGAGAGCGGCCGCCTGAGCGGCCTGAGCGGCCGCCTGAGCAGCCGCCTTTGCAGCAGCCTCCTCGGCCGCTGCAGCGGCGATAGTCAAGTGAGGTGATCTGGTTGTTGTTGAGAGAGAGTGTTTTGTTGTTGTTGTGATCTGGTGCTTGTAGGGCTTGAGAGTGGCCTGCCATGTCACAGGAAGGACTATGGTTGCAGAAGAGTACCACGGCTTCCGTCGGTCGTCCCGTGACTGATCGCGCCGCCGCGTTGCACATTGGACACATGCTCTCGCGCGTGGCGCTGACGATCGCACTATTTAAGGGCAAAAACCGATTTGCTGGGGGGCGTAAGATTGAGAACGCTGACACAGTATAATATGCCTCCAACGGGTTCCCTCGGGCCCTCATCATCAGTCGAACCGCTTTGGGCTGAGACCCGCACACTCGGCTGCGACCGCTTTTGGCTCATGATGCTCGCCCTTTCTCTCTTCCCCACCACCTACTCGCCGCCGAGCAGCCACGAGCTCGCGGCCGTGGCGCCGACACTGCTCGCACTCGTCGAGCGCGCGGTCTCCGAACCCGAGGCGCTCGCGGCGGAGCTTTCGGAATCGCCTTTGGCCGCGATCGCGCCGACCTTTGCGCTGCCCGACGTCGCACCGACAGACCCGGCGGCGGCTGGGGACCTGCCCATCGTGGTGACTCACGGCATGGGCGACTCTTGCTTCAACCCGGGCATGCAGTCGGTGGTGGCGCTTGCAGGCAAGACGCTCGGCGTCGAGGCTGTATGTGTCCCAACGGGCGACAATCAGGCAAGCGACACGATCAACGGCTTTCTGATGAACATGGACAAGTCCGTCGAAGCCTTTGCCAAGCGCGTCCAGTCCGACAAGCGCCTCTCGGGCGGCTTTGACGCCTTCGGCCTCTCGCAGGGCAACAACGTGCTGCCGCCCCCGCCTCCGCGCCCGCCACCGCAACTTCCGGAAGTTTGGTCCCACCCGCAAGTCCCCTCGTGCAGATCATCCGCGGCTACATCGCGGCGTACAACGACCCGCCCGTCCGCAACTTTCTGTCGATCTGCGGGATCAACGCGGGCGTCGCCGCCTTCCCGCACTGCGCCCCCTCGACGCCCGTGCTCGGCAGCATCTGCGAGGCGCTGACCGAGGCCTTGCCCGCAGGACTGGCGGCGGCCTGGCCGCGGGACACGTCCTCGACGCGTCGCGGTCGCGAGCGTAGGTGCTCGGCAAGCTCGCGTACAACCCGATTGTGCAAGACATCCTCTTCCAGGCAAACTACTTTCGCGACCCGACGCGCCGCAACTCGAGCGAGTACCTGTCGCACTCGCGCCTCGCCCTCTGGAACGGCGAGCACTCCCGGACACCTCCTAGACACCTCCTGGACATGCCTTCTCGGGACCTGGTCGGACCCTTCTCGGAACCTTCTCGGGAGCTGTTGGCAGGCGAGCGGCCCGGCGTCGACATGAGCGCGCGCAAGGCGCGGTGGGCAAAGGTGGAGCGCTTCGTCTGGGTGGAAGGCTCGCGCGACTCGATGGTCTGGCCACGGCAGGGCGAGCAGTGGGGCGACGTGCCCTCCGGCTACCCGAAGCAGCTCTCGCCCGTGCCGTACAACGAGACGCGCTGGTACACCGAGGACACCTTCGGGCTGCAGACGGCGGGCAAGGCGGGCAAGAACTTCTTCGAGTCCTTCGACGGCGACCACATCCGCTTCACCAGCGCCGAGCTGCAGGGCTGGCTCAAAAAGTACTTCAAGTGAGCCGCGTGTGCGAAGGTTTAGAAGGTCTCGCTCTCTGTGGACGCTGGATCCTCGCGGCGGGGGCGCTGGGGTGTGCAGCACTGGATGGTGGGACGCGTGTGGACTGTATGTTGAGCTTGTGGGGGGTCTATTCTTTTGAGGTTACAAAAATCGAAGTTTGGGGCCCCCGCATCCCCATCATGGCGCCCTGCTTCGACTTCGTCGAGCTGCGCTTAGGAGTTAGGTCTAGCTGCGGTGACGCTCGGGGACTGACGAGAGTGCTGGTCTCTGAGTGGTGACTCTGACTGGTGTCTGACTCTGTGAGCGCATCGCAAGACGTTCGCCGCATCATCACAGCGGCACTCATGCCCTCCCGCGGCCGTGAGTTTTACCGGCGGACAGACCCCAATCACACTGGTTTGGCTTGTGCACGCGTCGGCCGTGTGCAGTAGCTCAGGCATGCGGAAGGGGCCTTCGAGGATTTGCATAGTGTCGATGCCGTGCTGGCGAGCAGTAATCGCCCAGGTCTGATCACCTTGCTGTGGGCCCAGTGCGGACATGGCTTCGTTCGCCTCCCTTCTGGTGCGGAAGACCCACGTCCGCCCCGTGTCGAGGAAAACGCCCGTGCCAGTTGAGAAGGGCGCGAGGAGTGGGTAAAACCAGCATCCGATCAGCCCCTCCTTGGGGTGGGGAACCCGGTAAACCTCGATCAGTGTATGATTCGCAGCAGGTGAAAGGTTGATATGACTCCTCCACACCTGGATGCCTTTGAAAGGGGAGGGACCAATGTTGTTGCCGTGGGCATCTCGGCCTCTGCTCTTCGGGGTGCTCCTGAGCTGCTCAAACTTCAAGTAGCTCCGAGGAGTGAGCCGCTGCACCCGTCCGTTGTCAGGGTATTCGATTTCCAATGGCTCGCTTAAACTGTATGGCTTTGTCGGCCTCGATCTCCGATGGGCTTTTTGCGCCTTCTCACGCGGACAACTCAGGCTCAGGCGCAAGTTCTTCGCCTTGGCATTGCTGAATCTAATCACCCCCAAATTAGCGCCATCGGTATGATTGGCCGCCACCAGCCGAAAAAGCGCGAGCACACCCTCCCGTGAGCAAAAATCCGGCACCGCAGGCGCCGCCTCGGAGAGCCACCTTGGTGACATAATCGCTTCTTCGCCGATTAGCGTCACCAAGATTCGAAGCGGTTTAGGGCGCCAATAACGCGGCCGTGGCCAACGAAAGGAAAGAATTTTAAACCGTAGGCACGGGACTGGCGCGCACAGGTACGAACGGCGAACAAAATGGGAGACCGGCACCTACCTCCCCCCCCCCCTGGCCCTTGGCGGTTGTTGGGTTTCTATTTCTTTCTTTACGGCACCGGCCGCCACACACGATGTTGTTGGCTGCGACTGCTGGGAGAAAAGGGAGAGGGGGTTGTGTTCTCTAGGCCCCTAAGGGCCCTACGCGCGGCGTGAGAGAGGTCGGAAGCGAGCTTTGCACGGCAATCGAGGATGGCGCGGTTCACCCCCTTCACCGAAGCGATGGAGATGCGTTCCGCGTGGTGTGACACAAACGAGAGGCGGGAGTGGGGAGGGTACGCGGTGCGGTCAACGCCCTGAGCGTTGAGCCTTGCGCGCAAGGCGGTTGATCTTTGCAACTGCAGGCGGCGAGAAGCCGCCGCCGAATGTCTCGTGGAGAAGCAGATTGAACTTGTTTCGTTTGGTGAAGATCCCGTCATGGTAGTGGCCACGCTGTGACTTGACGTAGCCTTGGCCGGTGGTGTGTGGTCGAAACGCCCGTTGACCACACGGAATGGGAAACCTCTCTCCTCTGTGCGGAGGGATTTGTGCACGATGAGCGATACATCGGCCTGCTGCCTCGACAAGGGCCGCGAGCAATGCCCATTGTTCGGAGGCCAGAGGTTTTACGTGTACACTGAACAGAGAAACGGACTTGACAAAACAGACGCGATAAGGTATACTCTACCGGGTACCGCGTTTAACGCTAACGGGTCGGAGAGAAGGGAGGACGCGTGGTTCAGGTTGCGCCTCGTGAGTCGTGTGGGTTGTGAAGACCTCTGTGTTTACACACATGAGAACTACTGGAAGGATCTCACCTTTCGCTTTCTGGCGGTGCGGCCCGCAACAAACTGGGGCACCTCTAAACCCGGCTCTCGCCTGGCTCTCTCATTACTCTAATCCTCCTCCTCGACCTCGTCATCGTCGTCCTCCAGCGCGTCCGCGTCCAACGCGTCCGCGTCCGCGTCCTCGCCGCCGCCCGGCACTCTCCACGACACGTCGTACTCGAGATCGTCGGCGGTGACCGCCCACTTGTCGCCGTCGACGCGCCGCTGCAGCATCCGCGTGATCCCAATCTGCTGCTGCAGCTCTGTCACGATCCGGTCGCAGTAAGCGCCCACCGGCACTGCCTCGGGCATGCTGCCGCCTCCCTCCACCAGCTCCCACATCGCGTCCCACCGCCCACCGCTCCGCCCGACACCCTCCCCCTCCGCCGCCGCGTCGTCGCCGCCGCCGTCGTCGCCGCCGCCGCCGCCGCCGCCGCCGCCGCCCCCCCGGACAGTAGAGACGAGCCGCCGTCGCCAGAGCCGCAGCTGGAGCCGGCGGCGGCGCACCGTCTGCGTGTCTGATGCGCGGCCGAACGGCTCGTCGAGCAGCTTGGCGAGCTCCTGCGGCGGGGGAGGGGGCGGCGGGCGTGAGCGAGACGACGCTCGCCCCTGCAGTCTCTGTGTGCGCCTCCCTCTCGCCATCTCTCTGCGGCGGCTCCGCGCAGCTGCGTCTGCGCGTCTGTCTGTCTCCGCCGCCCCGCACACGCCGCCCGCCGCGCTTCGGTCGAGTAGATGGCCCGCCCGATACACAGCCGAGAGACATCTCTGCCGAGATATAGCCGAGATGTAGCCGAGATGTAGCCGAGATGTAGCCGAGATATAGCCGAGATGCAGCCGAGATGTAGCCGAGATGTAGCCGAGATGCAGCCGAGATGCAGCCGAGATGTAGCCGAGATGTAGCCGAGGTGCAGCCGAGATATAGCCGAGATGTAGCCGAGTAGCCGAGAGACCTCCGAGGTGCGCCTCGGTCGAGTAGAGTGCCCACCCGACTCCGAAGATGATTGGCGGGATGACGAGGGGGGAGAAGAGGTCGACGAGGACGAGGGGCAGCGTGGCGAGCCAGAGGAGGAGGAAGCGCGCCTGCTCACCGCGGGGCGCGTGGAGCGACGCTGCTAACGCGGGCGGCGAGCCAGAGCCAGAGAGCCAGAGGAGGAGGAGGGAGGAGGGGGAGGGAGGAGCGGGCGGGAGGCAGTGAATACCTCGGCTCTCTCGTATCTCGGCTGTATCTCGGCTGTATCTCGCCGTGTGGGTGCAGTACGAAGCGGGCGGAGGCAGCCGCGCGACGAGGTCGAGGGTCGCAGCCGCCGACTGCAGCTCTGCGAGCCTAAAGAACAACGTGATGGCTGATGAATGATGGGCTCTTTCCATTGCTCCGCCTGCGGCTCGGCGAGCCTCATCTCGCACTGCCCCCAGAGCGCGATGTCCTTGCCGGAGCCGTCGTCGCGCGCGCGCAGCGGGCGGAGCAGCAGCGAGATGGAGGTGAGCAGGAGCAGGTGCGGCACGGGCGAGCGTGCGACGGCGTCAGCCTCGGCCGGCGAGAGCACCGGCCAAGCCTACGAGAGATCGCGCTCTCGGCTGCGACCTCGCGCGATCTCGGCTGTAAAGGGAGAGGGTCGCGCCTCGAAGTACTTGCGAGGGCCCGTGCTCCACATCTCCCCGTATCTCCCCGTATCTCCCCGTATCTCCCCTATCTCGGCGCCTCGAAGTACTCACGAGGGTTGGGCGCGCGCCGCACGCGCTGCTTGAGGGCGACGGGCAGCGCGACGAGGTGCCTGAGGCGGGGAGGGCAAGGCTCTTGCCTGCCGAGGTGCGGAGAGGTGGTCGAGGCTCTTGTCTGCTCTCCTATCTGCTCTCTCCGACGGATGCTACCCTCTTCGTCCGTCTCCCTCCTCTCTGTCGGCCCCGCCCCTCGGAATCGCCTCATCATCGAGGCGTACACGATCGGGTCGAGCGCCACCGACAGCTGAGACGCGAGCCTCGCCAGGCTGTGGCAGCCGCGGTGCACGTCTGACCACGCCTGTGCCGCGCTCCAGTACCGATTCCACGCCTGGTTGGTCCGGAAGGCTAGCAGCAGCCCGAGGACGCCGCCAAGCAGCGTGTGCAGCAGCGGCGAGACCGCCCACGGCTTACTGAAGCGGACGCAGTGCCGGACGGCGACGATGAGGCTCGCCCACGCCACGTGCACTAGGAGCATCGGCAGCACGCGCAGAGCGACCTTGTACGGGTCTCTCGCGGCAGTGGTGACGAGCGAGGTGGGAATCCACGCGTCGACACCGGACCCGCCGCCGCCGCCCTCGTCGCTCTCGAACCGCCTCAGGGAGAGCGACGAAGACGCGACGACCAGCGCAGCCCTCCGGAGTGGCGAGGCAGCACGGGCGTGCAGCTGTTTTACCCCCGACGGCTGTCGGTGCAGCGAGAGAGGAAGCGCGGGAGCGCAAAAGATGAGCACGCAGCAAACGACCCGGCCGCCCATGCGTCAGCGAGCCGTGAGCTTCTGCGTGTGGCCGACGCTCTCGGCGCGCGAGCTGGGTTCAGGCTCCGGCAGAGAGATAAGGTACGCGTCGCGTTGTTTGGCGCAAAAGGGTTCAGGCTCCCGCTGAACGTGTGGGAGCAGTGACACAGTCCAGGGGTCCCCCGTGTAAATGTGGACCCCTGTACGTGCCTGTCAGTGCTACCAGAATGTAGCGCGGACCTGTGTGAGATGGGTACCCGGTGCAGATCTTGTGTTTGGCCCAAAAGGGCGCGGGATTAGCTATATATATAGGTACCCCTGTTTTCTCCATTTTTCACATTTTTCGCTGCGCTGCGCGGACTTGGGATAGGTAGGTTAGGATCGTTTTGGCGCGAGTGTCAGTGGCTAAGTGCAGGGGCAACAGACCCCTATCCGGCTAGGCCGGAACCCTGTTGCCAACGCGCGGTTTCTTCTTCCATGGCAGAGACTGAAATCATGCATGGAATGTAGGCCACGCCGCCGCCCGCACTACAGGACAGACGGCGCAACGGTCCATTGGAGTGCCGTTGCCTGTTGCCTCCCCGCCACCCCCGCCGCCGCTCCTCCTCAGAATTTGCTCCTCTTTGATCGCCGCCTCGAGCTTCACTCCTTTCGCTCCTCTTTCGATCTACCCTCCGCCTCGAGCTTCATCAGCTCCTCGACGGTGTTCCGCTCCGACCACAGCTGGCCTAGCCCGTCGACATAGCGCACGTTCGACGGATCGAGGTCGTCCATGTCGCCGTCGGTCGACAGCCCCTCGCTCAAAAACAGGCCCTCTTGCGAAGACTTGTCTTGCCGGGGGAGGGCCCACGCCCGTCGGACGGCCCACACCGCGAGGCAAGGTAGGCAGGCGAGCCACACGAGCCACTTCCCAGCGCCGTAACAGCAGGTGGCGGCCAGCCCACACGCGTGGCTTACCTTGGCCCAGCACCTCTCCAGCAGCTCCGGCACGCGGGCCGGGAGCCGCAGGAGGTTGAAGGGCGGTGGCGGCGCATCGCCAAAATACTGCACCGCGAGTTGCGCTCTGAGGTAGCGATTCTCCGTCTCGGCGTCGTCCCACACGGTATCGAACGTCTTCGCCATGATCGCGATAAGCATATTGAGCAGCAGCACCACCGACAGGATGACGTACACGCTCATGATGAATGGCGCCGTAAAGTGAAAGTCCTGCAGCGCCTCTGCAATCGTGCCTGCGCAGTCGATACTCTCTGCCGGATCTATGGCAACCAGCAGCAGCCGCCTCAGCGACACCAGCAACCCCTCACCAAATTCACTGAACTTGTCGCAATCCTCAACGTCGAGGACGTGTGCCTCGAGAAAGAGCTGGTGCAGTGCGGCGGCAAAGGCGACGGCGCAACCAACCATAAAGACTAGGAACTTGACCGTGTCGAAGAGCATCTTTTCGAGCATCACGGTCAAAGTGCCCAGTCCGCCCAGCGAGAAGACGCGCATGAACCACGAGAGCCACATGAGGAGTAGGCCAAAGGCGAGCATGTGCCTGTTGAACATGGGCGCCAGCTTGGAGGACAGGGCGAGGCTGATCCCGAGGAGCTCGCCCTTCTTGATCGGGTCGCTCCAAGAAAAGGTCTCGATTTCGTCGATGAAGTGTGCCAGCAGCCAGAGCAGCAAGCCTGAGAGCAGCAATGCGTTCAGCGCCAAGCTCCCCACCTCCTCCACCACAGTAGCCAACGCAGGGGCGATGCCATCAGCCCCCTCGGACGAGAGCAGAGCCCATGCGTCGGCCACAGCCCCACGCAAACTCGGCGTCGCCGTGCGCGTCAGCACGAGAGAGAGGAGCAGCCAGCTCACAGACGAGATGAAGAACTGAAAGAAGGGAGCGTCGAGCAGGTAGAGGGAGCGGGTGTAGAGCTGCGCCGACGGGCTCCACTTGCGTTGGAAGCCCTCGCTGTAGGGTGTGCGGTCCGACGAGACGAGCTCAAAACCAAAATCGAGGGTCCACATCAGCAGCCGCCGCAGCCGAGGGATAAATGCCACGAGCGGCAGGAAGAGTAAGTTGACGGCGGCAGCGAGCAGAAGGAGGACAACTCGCGCGAACGGCCGGCGCACCCTCTCCTCGTCCCCGTTTGGCGTGACGACGTAGCCGTTGACGACGGAGTTGATCAGTGGGCCCATCCAACGGTAGTTGATGGCAGCCTGCACCGTCGGGTCACCCAGCAACTTCTTCTGGCGCGGCACGTTGACGGCGCGAGCCACGAAGCCGCGGGGCCGAGCCACGAAGCCAGGGGGCCGCTTGATCTCCTTGGACGTCCCGCCCTCGAGGAAAAGACTCTCCTTGCGCTTCTCGCGCTCGAGGAGAAGCGTGCGCTGCAGCACCGAGAGCTTTTTGATAAGCTCGACACCCAAGCGCTCCGCGCGGTCCGCCGTCGCTTGAAGCTTCTCGGCTTCCGCGGGGCTGCTGCGTTCGCGCCGCTCGCGCTCGATGTGCGCGCGTTCCGCAATCTTGGTGACGTAGCACAGTGCCTCGCCAGCAGAGTGGCGGAAAAGCGCCGGCAGCAGGGCGATGGCGGCGTCGAGCTTGCAAAGCAACTGCTCGACGGGGATGCCGGATGCGGGGACGCGCAACGCATGGTCCATCGCCGTTGCGCCGTCCTTTGCCTGCGCCGTGGGAGATGCGCCACGACGTATCAGCGTGCGCACCACGTCGCCGTGGCCGTACTCCGCTGCCACCATAAGTGGTGTAAGCGAGCTGCTGCCATCAGGCACGTCCACGCGGCTGATATCCACACTTCGGGAGGAGGCTCTGCTTGACTGCTCCGCCGGAGAGAAGGAGCGAGGGAGGGCAGAGCTCGTCCCCGTGCGAGAAAGCGCAGCCTTGAGCTCGCGTCTCGTGAGCTGGGACTCAACCATCTCCTCAGGAAGCAACCTGTCATCCTTGATGAGCGACTCAACGAGCGAGGCATTGCCCATCGCGACGGCATCGTGAAACAAAAACCAGTTGTGGGCGGCGGCCTTATGTGCGGCATCGCTGGCGTCCACGGCGTTGTTCTTCTTAGATGAATGCTCTCGGGCCACCTCGACGGGCGCCATGACGCCGGCGGTCTTGAGGTCCATATCAGCAGCTGCCCCGCACGAGTTGTCTTCCGACCTTAGAAAAAAGTAGACGGCGTTGGCGCTGCCGTCTGCGGCGACCGGGGGGGCGGCGCGTGCCGCCCGCGGCCCCCCAGCCGACGCTTTGTGTGAGGAGTACGCGAAAGCGCCAAACTTGATGGGGTGCGTGCCCGCGTGCTCGCCCGGGTTCAGCCACATGAAGGAGTGCGCACCCGCCGCGAGGAGGAACGAGAGCGACACCGGTGTCCAGTGCTCCTGCTTCTGTGCGTGCCGAAGCGGGCCCTCCTCCATCCGGTGTGGGCCCTTGAACTCGACGACGTGGTTCTTCGAGTACAGGTCGTTCTCGTCGACGTTATCGACGTGCGTCACACGCAGCACGTCGACCTGCTGGCCCTCGCATTTGGCGTACACGAAGCCGCCACTCACCAGCAGCTGCTCAAAATGCGCAGTCTTGGGGTCAGGGTACATCACCTCTCCTGCGAAGGCGGCGTCCGCGGCGTCTAGTGGCCCGTAGACGAACGCTTGGTGCGTCGCATCTTGAGGTATTGAGAAGCGGTTGCGCGACTCCCATCCAACAGCGATCGGCGCGAAAGGAGCGCAGCGACACCGCACCCACTTCATCTGCGCCTCCTTGCGCAGGATCGCTGGGTTCATCTGCGCCTCCACCTCGGGGCGCAGCCGCCCTTTATGGATATCCAGCCGCAGCTCCACGTGCGTCACGCTCGAAATGGCCCCGCTCTCGTTGATGGTGAGCGCCTCACTCTGCTTCTCGCTGCAAGCGAGCAAGCGGTTGAAGGAAGGGCTGCTCTCCGGAGCGCATCGGACGAGCCGTACCCCCTTGGTGAGGTTGAGCTCCAAGGGCCGGAAGAGGAGCTTGAGACGGACGCCTCGCATTTTGCGCTCAAGCATAGGCGCGTTGAGTAGCTCGTCGGCCACCTCCTTTACCCAGAGGCGGTGCGGCTTGAAGATGTTGACACCGCCAGCTCCGGAGATATCGACCCACTTCACCCCCGGGCAGCTGACAGTGGTGTCCTGGTCCTCTAGGTGGAACTTGTACACCGTGCTCTCGATCCAAGCGTCGTCGGTGTTGCGCGAGTCGTCGATGTAGATGTATCCGCTGTCGGATGCCTCCGGCAGGTCAAAGCGCAATAGACTGACAATCTTGCTGTCTACTCCCTTTTCGGCCAAGCCGCGTCGCATCGCAGTCTCGACGGTCTCAGATGTCCGTATCATCGCACCGGGCAGAGCCCAAGCATTGCAGTCGCGCCGCAGGCCGGCGAGAAGCTGCAGCGTCGGCTCCTTTGCATCCGGCCGGAAACGCGTGATTATTGGGTCGACTGCCCGGTTGGCGCCCGCATGCGCGTGTTCGGACCAGCCACCGACGAGGCCGGTCCGCCCTCCTGGGTTGAGGCGGTGCGTCTTCTCGCCGGAGAGAATCACGCCGAGCCCGCCTGCTTCGCGTAGAGTCGCAGTCCAATCCATTCCTTGCTCGTCCATCCTCACGAGGGGAAAGTTGGTGCTGCGCGGCGCATATTCTGGCGCCTCCTTATGCCAAGGCACATGCTCGTCCTTCACCTTTGGCCGCTCAAAAGGGTCTTTTGGCTGCTGCTTCCGTGCCTCCAGGTGCGGCTCAGGCATGGTTCTGCCGCTTTCCACCTCGGTCCGGCGAGGCGGCACTGGCGCAGCCTGCACTGGCATGAACTCCTGCTCTCCACCGCCCTCTCTGCCGCCGCCCTCCGCGCCGCCGCCCTCCGCGCCGCCGCCCTCCGCGCCGCCGCCCTCCGCGCCCAAGACCTCGACCACCGAGGAACGCCGCGGCTCCTCAAGAGGGCCAGAGGTGCATTCCTGCACGATGGCGCGCGAGAGTCCCAAGAGAGGCGAGGACCGTTGAACCGTGCCAGTCGACGATCGCGTGCTGCTGGGAGTGAGGCGCCACCGCCGTGGCCCGGGCGACGCGGCGGTCATTTCCTGCACTGCCACGTCCTGGCGCGACAAGCACGAGGAGCCGTGGCGGCCCGGGCACAAGCCAATCGAAAGCCAACGCAGGCGGATCCTTGTGCACACGTGGCATCTGTTACAGGAAACGCGTTTGTCTTTCATGCGCGTTACCCAGTAATCATTCTTTTTCACGCTGCCTTCGCGGCTTCTGGGTTCGGTGGGGCTCGAGTCAGCTATCCTGTCCACCCATGTCTCTGCGCGCCACCTGGTACGAGATACGCGATGGCCGCAGGCACGTCGTGCCGTACACGCATGAGTTTGTCTCCAACACAAAGGGGCGGTGGGTCGGCCGGAAGGTGCTCGACGTCATGCGCGACGAGATGCTCTGCTCCGCCGAGTACCTGCAGGCTCGAGCCTAATTCCTGAACTCCCGCGCCTCGCTCGCCGATCGCACACGCTGCCCGTCTCAGGAGGCGGTAGCGGCGGGCCGGCTCACCCTCAATGGCGGTCCGTGTGGAGCGGAGACCGTCTTCCGGCACGGAGACCGGCTGGTGCATGAGGTGGTGCGGACGGAGCCGTCGGTGCCCGCTGCGCCGATCGGGCTGCTGCTCGAGGCTGACGACCTCCTTGTCCTGCACAAGCCCGCAGGCGTGCCAGCGGGACGGAGAGCGAGCGAGCGAGAGAGAGAGGGGGGGGCGGGGGGGGAGCAGCACGGGCAGCAGCAGCCTGGCCGGAGCAGACTTGGACGTGTCTGCCTGCAGGCGTGCCGGTGCACCACGCGGGGAGGTACCGCCGCAACACGCTGGTCGAGATCCTGCCGCACGAGCGACCCGACCTCAACCTCGGTGGAGGGGGAGGAGGAGGAGGAGGAGGAGGCGGAGGGCGAGGAGGAGGAGGAGGAGGGGGAGGGCGAGGGAGCGGGCGAGGAGGCGGAGGAGGAGGAGGAGGGGGAGGGGGAGGGAGCGGGCTGCACGTGCTGCACCGTCTCGACCGGCAGGTGCAGCGCCCATCGGGATGCCCTTCCGACCGGTCCTCGCCCTGGCCCTCGCCCCGGCCTCGACTCTGCTCCCGTGCCGCAGGTGTCTGGCGTGCTGCTGCTTCCCCGCACGGCGGCGGCGGCGAGCAGGCTCGGCGCGGCGCTCGAGGGCGGCGGCATGCGCAAGCAGTACCTCGCTCGCGTGGCTGGCTCGGTGCCGGTCGGGGGGGCGGTGACTGTGGCGGCGCCGACATGCGGGACGAGCGTGCACTGCTGGCCCGAGATGACCCGACATGGCCTGCGACGGCGCGAGATTAGGTGCCAATCTCCCCACACCTCCCCACACCTCCCATCACACCTCCCCACACACCTCCCCACACACCTCCCCACACACCTCCCCACACACCTCCCCACACCTCCCCACACCTCCCCACACCTCCCCACACCTCCCCACACCTCCCCACACCTCTCCACACCTCCCCACACCTCCCCACACCTCCCCACACCTCCCCACACCTCCCCACACCTCCCCACACCTCTCCACACCTCCCCACACCTCCCCACACCTCTCCACACCTCCCCACATCTCCCCGAGTCTAGGTGCCGATCCGCGTGGCGAGCGCGCACGGCGGCACGACCTGCGGCCTCCACGCGAGCGGAAAGCCCGCGGAGACGGTGCTGGTGGGGGTCGAGTACGACGCCGCCTCCCACACCTCGCTGGTGCTGTGCGAGCCGTTGACGGGGCGAACCCACCAGGCGCCTCGCTCGGCAGCTCCTCGGGCCGCACTCTCGGCCGCACCTCGAACGCGCACCTCGGCCGCCCCTCGGCTCCACCTCGGCTCCACCTCGGCCTGCACCTGCACCTCGCCAGGTGCGCCTCCACCTGCTGTACGCGGGACACGTCCATGACATGTCCGAGACATGTCCCGCAGGTGCGCCTCCACCTGCTGTACGCGGGACACCCCATCGCAAACGACCCCCTCTACCGCCTCGGCGGGGAGGGCGGGGAGGGCGGGGAGGGCGGGGAGGCGGGCGAAGGAGGCGCGCGGAAGCGGCCGCGGCCTTGTAGCGGCGAGGGCGGCGTTGCCTTCTCGGAGCGGTCGCGGTCGTCGCGCGCCCGCTTCTCCGACGGCCACGAAGGAGAGGCGGAGGGGGAGGACGCGATGTGGCTGCACGCCTGGTCGTACAGCTGTGCGAGCGAGGGCCGCCCCTTCTCCGTCACCGCCCCTCCGCCGGCGTGGGCGGCTCCTTTTGGCGCGCTGCCGCCGCCGGCGGCGCTGAGCGAGGCCGCAGTGCTGCTCTCGTCGGAGGAGGGGCGGCGGCTGCTGCTCGAGTGCGCGCCCGCCGACCGGGCCGCCTTCGACCTGCTCTGGCCCCACTTCCGCTGCCAGGCCGGCCCGACGATGTGCGGAGCCGCCTCGGTCGCGATGCTGCTGCGGGCGGCGGCGAGCCACGCCGCGCACAGCTCGCTGCGGGCTGCCGCGGCCGCGGTGCAAGCCGCCGCCGCCTCTGGCGAGGGCGGGGAGGGCGAGTGCGGGGAGGGCGGGTGCGATCTCGACGAGGAGGTCGTCCTGCGCGCGCACGGAGCCCTCTCTCCTCCCGCCGCCGCCCTCCCGCTTGCAAAGGTGCGCAGCGGCGGCATCACGCTGCCAGAGCTGGGCCGGCTCCTCCACTCCCTCGGACTCGCCGCCGCCGCCGCCCCGGCGGGCGTCGTTCCAGCCAGCCCGCCCGCGCCAGTCGCGAAGCCGTCGGGGAAGGGTGAGTCGGGGAAGGGTGAGTCGGGGAAGGGTGAGTCGGGGAAGGGTGAGTCGGGGAAGGGTGAGTCGCCGCCCCTCTCCGCCGGCGCTCACGGCACGTGGCACGCGGCGCCTGTGATGCGGGGCGGTGGGGAGGGCGGTGGCGGTGGCGGCGAGGGCGGCGTTGGCGGTGGCGGTGGCGGCGAGGGCGGCGGCGGTGCGTGGGCCGCTCTCAAAGCGGAGCGTGGCGCGGGGCTCGAGCAGCTGCTAGCCGAGCTGCGCGCGGCGCCGCGGAGGCTCGTCGTCGCCAACTTTCACCAGGTGCGAAGCCGAGATCCCGACCTGTCCGCGACACCTTGCATCTCCCAAGCCGCCTCACCCCTCCCCTCCTCTGCCCTCCCCTCCCCCTCCCCTCCAGGGTGTCCTTGGCCACCGGCCGTTCGGAGGCCACTTCTCGCCGCTCGCCGCCTACCACGCCCGGTCTGACCGCTACCTCGTGCTCAACGTGTGGCCGCACACCCCGCCCGCCTGGTACTCTGCCGCGTCGCTCTGGGCCTCCCTCCTCGGCACCGACGCCGAGTCTGGGCTGCCGCGCGGGTGGGCTGTCGTCGAGCCTCCAGTGCCGCGCCCCCGCTGCGAGTGAGACGCTCTTCGGTGGGAGACGGGGTAAACGTGACTGCTTCTCTCTGCGTGTGCATGTACGTAAGTCTATTGCGTGACTGTTGATTCTAGAATTATTTTCCTGCCCAAAAAAAGAGTCCAAGCGGGAGCGGGGCGGGGGGGGCACCTGTTCCTTTTTGTAGGCTAGGGGGCTTCCGGACTGTCTGCTGTGACCATTCGAGAGAGAGTTGTTTCATGTCGGTGTGTCTCGCGCCTTGGGCGTTTTTGCATTTGGGGGGGGGGGGGGGGGCTCTTTTCCCAACAAGAGCACCACCGCTCTTGGAGCGCCGCCACCACCCACCCAGAACACGCTGCAAGTTTTTCCAGGCCCCAAATGATGTGTGAGTGTTAGAGTTGTTTGGTATTGGTATTGGGTATTGCTAAAAATAATTTCGCTCTTTCTTTGTGCGAGGGATTCGCCAAATCTTTTTGACCGCGCAAGATATGAAGGGTGGCTAAGGGCTCTGCCCGCAAGGCGCCCGCGTCGCAGACGCGGTTACCATTGACAAATCTGCAATATACCCCCACACGAACAAATAGCAAAATCCGAATACCGTGCAGAAACCATGTGATCTCGGCCGTGGACGGGGGCAAGAACGTCGGCCAAATCCGTGCTAGGGAAAGCTGATCGAGCCCAGCGTGCCCGCGGCCGCCTCCCGCGCAGCACCGCCGCTGGGGACGACACGCTGCGGAATCGGATCGAGCCCATGCACCGGGCAAAGAAGGACGCTGCAGAAGCGGCTGGAGAGGCAGCCGGCGCCTGCCGTCACAACGAGTCCCAGCGCTGGTTGGACATGCGCGTCGGCTCGCCCGAGGACTGCTATCGCGACCCTCCCGTCGTGCCGCAGCCTCCGACGAGCTCTGCAACCGAGGAGAGTGAGGGTGCGCCTCCCCTCACTGCTGGCCTGGCTGCGCACCGCCCCACAAAGCACCCCCTCGAGCATCTCTACAAGTACAAGTACAAGGGCGACCTTCTCCAAGTCGTCAACGCGCCCGGCGGCTCCGGCAAGACTTTAGCCTTGGCCACCCTCCTTGCGGAGCAGGAGGATATCCGCTCTCGGTCGGCAACGTGGCAGCTAGTCGAGGGACTCGGTAGTTGTGACCCCCCTGAGTGAGGACAGGAGAGAGAGAGGCTTTTGTGGTGTTGGTGTACGCAATAACGGGACAGGGTAGTCGTTCTCTCTAGCTCCCCTTCTAGCTCTTGGCATGAGCTGCGCCCTGTGTCCGACCCCTTTTGCGCAGCAACACCTTAAACTTTCAGGCCCTCCGAATTCGGGTCGGAGCGTAGCGGAGGGCCCCGAGTTTGAAACCAGGGCGACGGACGCTTGCGTCCAGCCTCCAACAACGCCTCCCCGGCGCAGAGGGGCCCCCGGAGGGATGCTCAACCGCTCCACGCCACGCCGCTTGCGGCGGTCCTATTCCCAGCTCCGCTGAGGGCCCGCGCGTTATACCGAACTGTACCATGGCCTCGCCCAACGCTGCCCGCCGCCGCCGCACCGATGGCCTCCCACCGCATCGGCGCGCGCGTCGCGGGCCTCTCGCCAGCGCAGCTGTGCGCCATCATCGAGGCGCAGGCGGGCGCGAGCGACGCCGCGCTGCGCGTGGCGGAGGAGCACACCGCACGGCTCGTGGAGCAGCCCGAGTGGGTGCTCTCCGAGGTCCTCCTCTCGCCGGACCTCGCCCCGCACATCCTCGCCCAGCTGCCGACCAAGGAGTACGCCTCCCATCAAGGGGACGTGCCGCGCGTGGCGCCGCGGATGGAAGGAGACGCTGAAGAAGCGCGAGAGGCCGCGCCTGACCGTGATCGGTGGCAACGTCAACGGCTTTTCCGTGAACTCGCTGGAGCGGTACGACCCGTCAACAAGCGCGTGGGAGGCGGAGGAAGCTGTGGCGCCGATGCCGCCGGCACGCACGAATGCCAGCATGGCCATGCCGGCATACTTTCGCACGAATGCCGGCATGGCGGTGCTCGATAGCAAGCTGTACGCGGTGGGAGGTTTCATCGATGAAGACGATCCTTCCAACTCTGCGGAGCGGTACGATTTCGCTACAAAGGCATGGGAGGCGGTGGCGCCGATGGCGTTGGCTCGGTATCAGCCCGGCGTGGCGGTGCTCAACGGCAAGCTGTATGCTGTCGGAGGTTTCAACCGCGACGACGGCGGAGTCCGCCTCAGCTCGGTGGAGCGGTACGATCCCGCGACAAACGCGTGGGAGGAGGTGGCGCCGATGGGTTCGGGGCGGCAGAGTCCCGCCGTGGCGGTACTCGACGGCAAGCTGTACGTTGTGGGCGGATGGGGCAACGGTTTTCATGACTGCCTTAGCTCAGTCGAGCGGTACGATCCCTCGGCAAACGCGTGGGAGGTGGTGCAGCCGATGGCGTCGACGCGAGACGACGCGGTAGCCGCACTTCTCGACGGCAAGCTGTATGCTGTGGGAGGCTACATGACCACGGTGCCCCTCTCAGCTCGGTCGAGCGGTACGATCCGGCGCTTGATGAGTGGGAGGCGGTGACGCCGATGATGGAGGAACGGTTTGATCACGCCGTCGCGGTGCTCGACGGCAAGCTATACGCTGTGGGCGGGCGCAACGAAGACGGCTACCTCAGCTCGGTCGAGCGGTACGACCCGGCGTTGGAAGGTTGGATGCGTGGGAGGCAGTGGCGCCGATGGCGAGGGCTCGGGGGGATCTCGCTGTTGTGGTGTTGTCTTGATGTAGGCGGCTGTATGCCGCCATAACACTCAGCCGCACCGCGCCTCCGTTCCGTGCCGTTAGTCGGTAAGCTGACTCTCTGACTCGTGACTGACTCCACCGGGAAAGACTGTGAAAAGAGTAACCTAACGACTAACGTGGTTCCAATACGGCTTATAAGCACATTACAGCTTTCAGTTTCACACGATTAATCCTATTATAATGGCGCTCCCTGAAAAACTCATACAGAGGCTCTCTACACACGCTCACAGAGACACCTCGCACGGCTATACGCCCCACGTGGTCGCCACCTCTGCATCCGTAAAGTAGATGGACGCCACCAGCCACGTGCACGAGAAGCCAGAGGTGGCCGCCAGTACGACGGAGACGAGGTAAGCGCCGCCGATAGCGACGACGGGGAAAACAAAGACCTCGGTGGATCGGAGGAAGGGGAGCTCGTTGTAGCCGAGAAAGGTGAGGTAGCAGTAGGCGCTGAGGGCGGCAGCATACCTGGCGGGAGGGGAAGGGGGTGGAGACCGGAGGACGGGAGAGGAGAGATCGAGGGAGGGAGGCAGGGAGGTAGCTATTTAGGGAAGGAGGCAGTGACGGCGGCTAGCTAGAACGCCAGTATGCATCTACGGACTCAGGTATGGATTATCTTATGTACCTATTGATTAATCTCATAAGAAAGTTCTATAAGGTGGTATACCTTATGCTTTACAGTCCGACTTCCTTTATAAAAATCTTTAAA